GGTGATTTTGTGGAGTGCCAACATTCCATAGGATCTTCCCCATGGCTGGTATGGCAAAGGAGAAGGCAGGCTGAGACTGGGGCAAGTTATTAGATTAACAGTGTTCTGTCAAAGGCAAGGGTTTTACAGGAGCAGTGATGGAAATATTCCAGTCTTAGCAGAGATCATGTCTTCTACAGTCTGGAATATTCTTTATTGAGATGGCTATCCTCTTCATCAAGTGTTGTCAGGCATTAAAATGGGGCACCCAGGGAAGTGGCAGAGTCATCCTCCCTGGGGATACTTCCAAGATGTGTAGATGTAGCACTCAGGACCATGCTTTAATGGAGGATTTTGCAGCGTTAGGTTTATGGCTGGACTTGATGCTCTTTAGGGTCTTCCCCAACCTAAAGGGTTCCACGATTCACTTCTATTAGACTAATCTTGATTTTTAATTTAAACTGGAGACTGTTATCACTAATCCTTGAATTAAAGTTAATAGAAAAATCAAACCAATGTGTCAAACTAAATTCATATTTTTCAGGCCCAAATTCCATAAAATTCAAGCCTATCCCTACTGCTTCACAAATATAATACACTTTTTCCCCAAGATGATGAAATTCCAAGACCTAACTTTTGCACAATGATTGTAAGGGCTGTACCACAACGACCTCCATTTGGAGCTCAGTGATCTGTGCTTTGCTTCCATTTCACATTGCTATCACCAGTATTAGCAAGCACAACAGAATTGTTGTTGACATAAAACAAGGGCTGCAGTTTTAGTTTAAATAAAAAACTATGACATAACTTTTGAGTTTATGGCATAAACTGAAACCTGCTTAGCGAGATTTTAGCATTCTCTGAATTTAACATGCACATCTCCTTGTCAAAGTGAGTTTGGATTCTCAACTGTTTTTCACCAGACTGTTCATTTAGCCCTTCAGCTCTCCTGAACTTGATGCAAAATGTCACTAGATCACTAAATTTTTTTTTTTTCCTTTTTTACATGTATGATCATTTATGGAACAAAAAACCCCAAACAACCCAGATGTAATGGTCCAGGAAAGCTGCAATTTCTATACTTCCATTTATATAATGGAAAACTTGGGAATATTCTTCCCTGGATTGGGATTTTTTTGCCCAAGAAAAAGTGCCACTGAGCTTTGTTACAGGACTTAATTTTATTTGCTCAAGTCAACGTCTTCAGTTGCCTTTGTGTCATGTCTCCAATGTATCTGATTATCATCATGATATGAAGTATGGGCAGGACATCTCCTTTACTAGAAAATGTGTATATCTGGGTAAGGATGTAATGCTTCATAGTGAATAAACCTGTACTCTGAGCACTCTGCTTGCATGACAATAACCCTTGTAGGATTGTAATGAAAAATATCCAATAAAGTGGTAAAGCAGATAAAGCACAAAATCACTGCTTTTTATCAACCAAATATTTTTCATTTTTAAAGAAGAGATCCAATCATCATCATATAAAACATCAATAATTATAAAGCCAAAAGTCTTGGAAAAGTATTGAGCTCAAAATCAAGAAAACTAGGTGACTCTATAATAAGATAGAACTGCGAGGTTCACAAAAAAGATAAAAGAAAAGTTGTTTCTATACATGAAGGATTAGAGGATGCACTGTGTTTGTAATATTATATATTTCCTCTGTTGACATTCACAAAAACAATTAAATATAGAAAAGGTAATTACAGTAGTTTGTAGAAATAAGCTTATCTAACATTTGATCACAGGATACTTCTGTCAAAGTACATAGAACATCGATTTTTTATTCATTGCATAGATAAAAAAAGCAGACTTACAAAAACTGCACCCAGATACCAAACAAATGCAGTACTAATGGGGAGATATTCTTCAGCTGACTAAAAGCTTAATTTAGTTTCAATACCAATTACATTTAGATGTTATATATAAACTAATTAATAATAAAGAAGTGAAAAATAATGTATCAGTGCTGTCTCAAATTTTTAAACAAATTAGACAGCTTCTGTATAATCTTTGGTTTAGAACCTGTCCAGCCTTACTGGTTAAAAAGAATGCACAATGTATATGTTACTCAATAAAATGCAATAGTATTTATTTAATCAATAACTATGTTTTACATGTAGATTACGTATATTTAATGAATGCCAAGTTTTACACAGAGATTATGTATAGCACCCATTTTTGTTCAGCTGCTAAAACTTTATTTTCATTTATAAAACAAAGTGCCACTACCTGATGACAGGCTTTTAGGCTACCTTCCTGAAATGAAACATCTAATAATGCAACAGAAATACCTTTAAATTTATGAAGATAAATCTTATAGAACCAATTCACATTTCCACGATGACAATCAAATATAATTCATACTGTATCTTACCTACAAGCAGAAAATATATTTTGCACTGTAAGTCCCAAAAGAAGTTGGCTAAAGGGCTCCATGAAAGCATCCTGTCCCACACAAAGGCCACCTTCTCAGCACTAAACCAGGGCTTGGACCTGCAGCTGCTGGTTTATTTGCTAGGGAAATCAGCAATGAGTTAACAGGTCCTATCCTGTCCCCTGCCTTATGTGATTTGAATATGTGTATACAAAGAACAAAGGGAGTGGAGCACCTGTTAGATGAGGACCCATCTTCATTGCCTCTGACTTTATCATAACCCATCCCCAGCAGTCATAGCAAATATGACACAGAATGTAATAAATGGGGCACACAATACAAAGTACATTTAATTAATAGAAGTAAGTAAACGCATCAAGTGAACAGGTTATACAGTCATTAACTTCCTTTAGTTACAGTTTCATAAAAATACTGTGATGCTACATGCTTATTTCAAACTAAAATTAGTAGTCAGAATATTTTTTCAGAACTTTTCCGACAGCCTCTCATTCTCTCATTTTCTGTTACAAAAAACCCCCCATAAAACAGCTGTTAAAGAGCCTTTCTAATTTTTTTCTTAGCACTTTCAAGCCCATAACTTTTCTGTATTTTTTCCTTAAAGTAAGTATAACTCAGCAAAGAATTAACTCCCTTTCTTTAAACAACATGTGATGTCAAGTATCTATGACACATCATTGAAATGAAAATCCTATGGCTAGAGTGGAGAGCTTACTACAGTTGTTAACTGCTGATTATTGTTTCTTCTCCATTAACTTACATCGGTTTAAATTAATATTAATGTAGGATTTGGATTTTGTCCAAAGCTGTCATTCACCATACAAATCAGCATCAAACTGGACAACCCCTCCCAGAGCTGTGCAGTAACAGTTTGCAACAGCAAATATTAGCAGTGACAGAGATGGTTTATCCATACAAAACCACACAGTATTTTTCACTAAACAGCACTTAGACAAACTATTATGGATTAACAAACATTAGGCTAGACTTTATTCTGCTTTGTGCAGGAGCAACTTGTAGGAAGAAATTGCCTCCCCCTCACTGTGTGCTAGAAGCAGGGGTCCAGCAAGGTGCTAATCCCCCATCAGGAGGAATGAGCACTCAATTTTTACCTTAGTTAAAGAGAGGTGAGAACACCCAGATGCTTCCAGGTCCAATATAAGAAACACAAGGGTTATAACAGATTAATAAAGCAGAAGTACAGTGATCTCACCAGAAATAATATCACCACCTGACATATGTCAGGAGATGAAGAGAGTATTTCACATATTCCCAAAAGCTTTCTGACTCCATTGCCCTGTCCACCTGAACGTTGCTGTTTGGAAGCTGCTTAATCCACCTAACTGTATGCTTGATATATCAAATTGCAACCTTTCATAAAACCTAGGTTAGAAATTATCTACTTGATTTCACTATGTAACAAAATATTGGTCATAGATTCTAACTAAGTTCTAAATGAAATAATGGGACCTTTAGCATTGGAATAAAACTTCAAATGCCCCATATGGGCTAGGAAAATAATAATAAAAAAAAGAGATAAGCAGAGTTACGTTTTTCAATTCTGCCCTGTTATTTCCAGCATTTTAACATATTTTTGATGTTATTAATATACTTCAAGTTTTTACATGAACCCACACAAATGTCGTGCACGTGAAAAATGGATTTTCTTTTCAGCAGACTTGTAGCTTGTACTAGTTGTTAAATGGCATTTAAACTTAATACAAATCAAACCTCCCTCCTTTTGAATAGAAGCAACTACATTAAAGCAACACTATTTGCAGCACCAACATCCTGCAACTTTTAGTTATTTTATTAATGAGAAGTAACTTTGTTATGTGCTAAAATTGTTAGAGGTTTTCTACTAAACAATCACACGATATTCCCAATGGCAGCCAGAAGTAATGAGCTCCTGGCAAAGGAAGCAGGGAGGGGCCATGGCTCCCGACCCTCCTTTGTCAGTGCCGTTTCAAAGGCACCTGCTCTCACCTGCCCGGCCCTGCCCCAACACAGCAGCAGCTGCGGCGCTGAGTAACAGCAGGAGCAGGAAACAGCGGGGCTGACCTACGTGCCCTCGACAAGGAAAAAAAACCTTTTCTACAGGCACAACCGTGCCACAGCGGAGGTGCAGGTGGTCCCACCCTCGAAAGCTGTCTCCGCTTCAGCAAAGACTGTAGGATAAATTCTTCCTTGCCTTGTGTTGATATAAAATAGACTTAAAAAACTATCTAGTGGGCCTTGGTGTGTGTGTTTTTTTAAAGCTGCTATCAATACAACTAAATAAGAGTGACACAAGCCTGTTTTGCTGATGCAAAACTACATTCATCACCCGCGAACAGGCCAGACGCGCTGTGTGCCTAACGCCAGGAAGAACCCGAGACAACCAGGAAATTTCCCTCGCCTTCGTGTACGCCCCGGCTTGTCTCCACACACAGAGCCTCGTTTTACCTTCTGAGCTAAGCACGTCCAAACCTACACAAACAAACCCCAATACTCAAACACCCCACCCGCCCCGGCAGCCGCAGCTCCAGGCCCGCCCTGCCGGCCGCGCTGTCGGGACTTGTAGTCGGGCCGGCCGCTGGAGAACTACAGCTCCCGGGGAGCCGCGGGCGAGCGCGGTCAGGTGGCGCCCAACATGGCTGCGCCGTGCCCCGGCGCCTTGCGCGGCCGCTGAGCGCAGTCGGGGCGGCGGCGGGGCCATCATGCAGAAGATCAAGTCGCTTATGACCCGCCAGGTGAGCGGCTCTTCTCGGGGGGCGGCGGGGTACCGCGACGGCCGTCCCCGGCTCTCCTCGGGGCCGCCGTGCCGGGGTACTCCGCAGAGCCGCCTGTGCGCGGACATCGCCCTCTGTCCTGCCGGGGAGGGAGGGAAGGCTTGGGGCGTGCGAGCTCCTGCTGCACACGCATCCACCTTGTTTTCTCTGCCGAGAAATGGAAGCGTACGCAGGTGCCACCGCGTAGCTCATGTCACAACAGAGAAATCGTTGTTGAAGATGACAGGGCTGGGCCCGTGTCAGTTTGTTTTTTTGACATATAATTTTGAGCGCCGGGCTGTGGTTCTGTAACATGGCTTTGTCTGGCAGCAAATGCCTTTGGTCCATAGGGAGGCGAGGCTGAGAAGGTGCCAGGGACATATCTGGGTGGGCACATAGTGAGTGTGTACCAGAGCACTCGGTATGTCTGTCAGCTCACTGCCGTGGGCCACTTGTACCTGTTGTCTCCAGGATTGTGTAGATCTAAGCCTACTTTTGGACCAATATTTCTAAGATTGAGAGTCCTTTTAAGGAAGTGTATCAGCAGAACATTCCAGTTATTCACATATAAAAGATATCCCTAAAAAAAAGCCTCTTTATTTTTGTCTAATTGGAGAACTTAAAAAAAAAATCACTTGTGTCGCCCACATCAGATATTCTAGATAGTTATAGAAAATCATGTAGAAAGTCAGAAGCTTTTTTTTTTTTTTTTTTTTTTTCTTCCCTAAAACTATGCTCTCAGAGTTGTGATCCTTATGCAGGAGGCAGGGCTTAAAAACGAACACTTGTGTGAAAGTGGAATTGCCAAAATAATATTCTGTTCCACTTCAGTAGAGGGTTGCATAATTCGTTTTCAGATTGACTAGGAGGAGTGCTGGGAAGCCTGCCCGGTGTGGAGATGATGTTTTCTGCAAATAATAACAACTTAGGCAATTTTCAGTCATTTGGAAAGATTAGGTTCCACTTACCATTTGATAAGTGAAACATTTTATTTCTTCTGGAGGTAAGTCACTAGAACTACATATTTTGGAGAGGACGTAGGGATGAATTTGTGTGAAGTATGAGAAACTGCAGCAGTTGCTGTGCTTGTTTCTTACTTTGAATTTCTGATGCGCAGAGGTGAGTCATCTTTGATGGTGGCAACTGCAGAGGGAGGATGTTTTGAAGCGATGTGTGACAAAATCTGAGAATCAAAACCAAAATGGAGAGGTTTTGCATCTTGGGAGGATGAAACAGTTGTAAAATGTAGTAGTTAGCACTGAAATTATGTACAACACTTTGTCAGTTTCAAGGAATAAATACAAACTTTCTCACCATAAACTAATATAGTACTTGCACAGGTCCTTTTAGAAATATAGGTACCCAGGACCAGAAAAGGGCTTAGAAAAAATACTGTTAACATTGATCATATGAGAAGGAAGAAAATCTGCCTGAAACTTTTGACTCACAGGAACACACTGAAGTCTCAAGGGAAGCTGGAGTCAGAACCATATCTGAAACCTGAACTTGTAGATTAATTTCTGCCTAGGGAGCTGGCAGAAAATATTCTGTGCAGCCTGTTCTGTGGTATTGCTGTTTGAAATGGTGAGATGCTGTTTCAGGTTGTCAGGAGAAGTTGTGGATTCCCCATCCCTGGAAGTGTTCAAGGCCAGGTTGGATGGGGCCCTGAGCATCCTGATCTAGTGCAAGGTGTCCCTGCCCATGGCAGGGGGTTTGGGACTACATGATCTTTAGACTCTTTCTAACCCAAACCTTTCTATGAAAATTGTGAATATGTTTGATATTCAACAAACATACATGCTATTTATGTGGCTATACGTGTTTTAAGGAGTAATAGTTATATAAAGCAGCTAGTGTGGATATGCAACCTTTTCAGTTCAGTTACACATAGGGAAAGCCAGTCCTAGTAGTGGAATATGGTAAGTAGAAAAGTATACTATCAATCAGAAATAATCTTGCAATAGATTAGGTGGCACCTAACTTGAATTCAGTTATTTGATTCCATTAAATCATTATGTTAGTGGAACAAAGTATGCTATGTTTTTTTGACACATGCTCATTCTAAAATTTAAGATAACACCTGGATATTGACAGGAGGATGTGAGTGAGTTTTGTAAAGAAAATGTTAGTGAACTGTACTGAAAAGGTACATATTGCAGCATAAAACTGGAAATGCTTAGATGTTTGTGGAGCATAATTTATATACCAGTGATCTTGCTTTAATGTTTCTAGAATGAGGTCTTAGCCTTCCAGCAACATGTCAGAGTATTTATTAAGGGACCTGTAGATACCTATTCAACATCAGGTAAGACTTGATTGCAAGATACATAAAGGAATCAAACTTAACTGATTATTAAAATTCTTTTAAAGGGTCTAAGAAGTCCTCAGGAGAGTGTTAATGACCTCAGTCCTATTGAAAACTTTCGGTTTCCTACTAAGGTATGATACAACATTCCTCCCCTCCCACTCTCTTTGTTTTTAGTTTTTCATTTTATAGCTGAATGACATTTAGTTGTGTCTTCTTTTCTTCCTTAACACCAGGTTTACTGTTGTTCTTTTTTCAGTTTTATTTCTTGCCGAAAGTCTTTTAGAGTGTTTTAATGAAAGAATTAAGAGCTGTGAGAAAAATCAGTTCACCAACTCCAAATGAATTTGCATGAAAATTTTTTCTTGAAACTTTTCAGTTGTCACAGGATGTTGATCTTAATATTATTTAGGTTTCTTGCTGGAGTGAATAAAAAAAAAGCAGAAAAAAGAAAAAAAGCCTTTTTGAGTTTTACTTTGGAAAGTAGATGCTGTGTGGATGGCCTGTATAGTTCTAGTGTTAACATTTAGTTTCTTCATGGTTTGGGTGCTGTAAGTATATTTTGAAATTTCATAGTTTTAATCTTCAGCATATATAATTAACTTCATGTTCTACTTTAAAAGCTAGCTCTTTATAATAGCAATAGTTTTTGGTATTTTTTTTGGGTCTCACTATTTAAATGAAGCCAGCTCACTGTCATCTCACAAGTCGTGCTGAGTAATCTATGTGTGAGGGTACAATTGTCACAATAATTGGCTGTTCCTTATTCCCTGTTGATCTGAGGGGAGGATTCACAAGACTTCTGTGGTTGTTGTCTATTATTTTCTGTGAATTTGGTCTTTGCCTTTAACCAATAAGATTCTTAAATTACTGACTTTAATTTAGATGACCTATTTTGCAACAGTTAAAAAGTCAGACCGCAAGACCCCTTGTGTTTCTTTATCTCTGTATAAGTACTGTGTAATATGTTGCTTGTGCTGAGACAGATCAGAAAATTAGCACTGCTATATATTTGAAAAATCAGGTAAGAGTCTCTGAATTGGTACATTATACTTTGTAAAACAGTGGCCAATATGTTGATATCAAAGAGTAGAAGTATTCAGTTGCAGCAATGTTGAAAAACCTGTCACATCTTCATTGCTTAAGTCTCACAATTGCAGATTCCTGCCACTCCCTGAGCAACCAGTTTTTTGCCAAGTTGGCTCTCCAGGTAAAAGCAGATGTAGGGTATCTTGGCTGGATTTCCATTCTGTAATGGTTTCATGTTATATGTCTCATAAGTCTACACTGTGTAGCAATAATTGTTTTTATTTAACCCTTGAATCATGAAAGTCTCAAGCTGTTTTGATGGCAGAATGGTTATGATGGTGCACTTTCATCGTCACACTTCCACATTTAAATTGGTATCTCCAGACTGATTTAGGGCAAATGATACTGAAAACTTCAAAAGCTGCATTAAAGCTATACAGAAGTATATATAATGAAAGGCTGCAGGGTCAGCATTAATTAGGGCCAGTGTGAGTTACTGGTAAAAGGACAAGCCATTTGTTAGACAACCCTAGGTACAAACCCATGTTTTTTGGGATGACGGACTACCACACTAGTTTGGAGGTCAAATGGGAAATAGGGAGGACAGGAAGAAGAATCTGCTGACATTCCATCCCCTGAAAGCATAACCAGCAAAATTCTTTTGGGTCTGGATATCTGAAAGTTGTTAATTTGCTGACTGTTTGCTGACTGTGGCCAGCATGATGAAGTGATGACTGTACCCCTCATTTTTTTATTTTCAGGCAATGAAATTATTAGGCATTTGGACATTTTAGTGAGTACCTGAGTGTATTCACTCATGTTAACTGGTACTTCAATAAGTTCTGCAACTATTTCGAAAAAGTTAAATTTCGTATCATATGAAGGCAAATCACCAGCAAACTTGCTTAACTTGTTAATACAGACTCGTGCAGCCAACTCACTCACATAGGGAAGTATCTCAGTAGGAAGTAAGTGTATAATAGTTTGAGTCTGATAAAGTCTCATAAAGTAGAGAAGCCAGATCTGAACTGCAAGGCTGGATATAGCAGGTTGCCCAGAGAAGTTCTGGATGCCCTATCCCTGGCAGTGTTCAAGGCCAGCTTGGATGGAGCTCTGAGCAACCTGGTCTAGTGAAAGGTGTGCATGACAGGAGAGTTGGAACTAGATGATGTCCAAGATCCCTTCCATCATTCTCTGATGATTCTTTGATGATTCTATGATATCTGGAAGAGAAAGTCATCTGTAGAAGGACATAACATCTATTTTGACTGAGATACCTTACTTCATTGGCATACCCTGATTACCCAGGGAAACTAATTTCTTTTGAACCATTCTGTTATTGTTGTTTCCCAAGCTGATAACAGTTTTGTCACAAAAGTCTGAGGTAGGTATTTTGCATGCTTGAATTCAGGTGTGTTGGATTAATGGTGAGTTGACTTTGAATTAGGTTATGCTATTTTGATGATAATCAGCTCATATGCAATATACAAATATTATTTGATTTTGTAGCTTATCATGGTAAATAACACTGAGGTTATTTTAAAAATGTTTTTTTCATATAGACATAGGAGTGTGGGTTTCTATTTCCCCAGCAGTAGCTGAGTGCTTTTCAGGAGTGCATTAAGTAGTAGTGTGGCTAACATGTGTTCTATGGATAGGCTTTGTTGTTCTCTCCATTAGGAGAGTGGTTTTCAAAGTATAATATTTGTTTTGGTAGAGTGAGAGCTTTTTAGTAGGTACTCTCTGCATATATTGAACAAGGGAAAATCAAAAGGAGGTTCTGAGCATTTTCTATGAAAGATAGGGAATACCACCAACTTCCCTGTGGTACTTCCTTTTCTAGCTAGGGAAGGGGGAGGGAGGGGCAGGGGGGAAAAGCAAAGTATATATATAGTTATACATTGTATTTTTTGGTATTATAGACAATAATTGTTATATAAAACATACAGAGAAAATTAGATTTATATATATAGTTATATATGTATATTGCTATATTAAATATATACTGTTATAGTATATACATTAGATAAGATTTTAGATAAAGGTTCTTCACCCAAGGGTGGTTGACCACTGAAACAGCTGTCCACAGTGGTCACAGCACCAAGCCTGACAGAATTCAAGAAGCATTTGGCTAATGCTCTCAGGCACATGGTGTGACTTTTGGGGATGGTCCTGTGCAGGGCCAGGAGTTGGACTTGATGATCTTTGTGGGTCCATTCAAACTCAGTGTATTCTGTGATTCTGTGATTATAAGACAAATATAATCTCTAAATATATCTTTGTGTATAGATAGAATTCAAAGATTGTGTTTGCATGTGTGTATACAGATACATATATAAATGCTTTAATACTTTTATTTCACAGTGGTGCAGTGTTGCAGTATAGCTGCTGATTGAATTTGTTGAGCATGGCTCTTATCCTGATATTTAGGATTGGATTTTAGCACAGGTGTTATCCATGCTCAGAATGGAGGGATATAAAGCAGCAGGATATTCATTGGTGTGTTTTTGGTTCATGACAGAAAGGGAGGCTGTGTCCAAATCAGTATAGTGCAGACCTGGCCCCTGGTAGTCTCCAGATAAAAAAAAGTGCATAGGCTGTTGCTGAACTTCAGCTTTTAACTAGATTAGAAACTGTTTAGATTTTTTTTTTTTCCTGAGTAGTGTCAGTTAACTTTTTTCAATGTCTTCATTTCCCAGTCTTTTAGGTGATAGTGACTGGAGTGCAGAAAGTGTTTGCTTCTACTCCTTACAAGCAATGCTTCATTCAGCAGAGCAATATTGGTTTTGCTGCTACAGGCAACATAGCATCCAAGGAGAGTGGGAGTGTGATGCACTGGGAAATAGCTGGGTAGACATCTAAAACTTGCTGAACTGCATTTCAGATGAGTCTGCAATGAGATGACTCTTCTGAAATACATTTCAAGGAATTGCCACAGGCTTCTAGACTGTAAACTCCTATTTCCATAGGACAGAAAGACAAAATGATATGAGATGTGTGTGGATGCAAGCACTGTGTTTTATTTAGCAATGGCTTCTTTGAGCATGCAAAGCTGTCAGACTTCTTTTTCCTTCTTTCTTTTCCTTCCCAGATGCTGTCTTTCACTGTTTAGGTGACATAATGAGGCCTGCTGCTGAAGGTTGCACTAGTGGTAACCTGACAGGATAAATTGTTTTTCCATGAAAGTATGATCCCACGGTACTAGGGAAAAAAAAGATGCAATTGGCACCACAAGTGGCACGAGTTTTAGGTAGGAGATGAGTCCGCTTGCTGAATAAAACTTAGGGAAAATGAGTATCCTGTGAAACAGTGTCTTACCAGGCTGTGTTGGCCCATTATTTATTGGAGAGTTTCTACTGCTGGATGCATGTGTTAACCTGGACAGGTGGATTGAAGTGAAGGTTGTGGGGTCCCCCTTGCCAATATGCTGCTCCTTCTGACCTCCTGTGTATCTAGTTAATTCTGTTTAGCAGTGGCAAAGTTCTCTGTAAGGGTATTATCATGAGATCCCTGCTGTCAAAATTTTTGACAGGTTTTTCTGTTCAGAATAGCACTCGGAATTGCTGAATTAACATAAACCGTAAAATTATAAGTGTGTTTTAATGTTTACTTTTTTCTTTTTGAGGAGGATATTTATATGGCAATAGCTAGACAAGTTTTGGGGTGGAAAAATACCTTGAGGGATTTAATAGATCTTCTCTCTTTCCTTCTACTAAGTGCGTGAGTACCAAGTCTACAGAGCTAAACTGGCCCTTTGCCAAGACCCCTGAAACTATGGACTTATTTCTACATAGTAAATTGTTTTTGTATATCTGATTGAAAGGATGAGGAAAATGGAATATCAGCAAATAAACTTTAGCTAGGGATAGTTGCCTCCTTTAGTGGTGAGTGAATAAATTTTCCTTCGCTATATTGGTTATTTCAAGCTTCTGGAGCGTGATGTGCTGAAAGCTGCAGGTTATCATGGCAGAAAGTCTGGTGTCAGGTAATGTAATTTATGGGGGAGCTACAGTTTATCTTGGAGAGTTATAACTAGACTGCTTTTCTAGAAAAAAATGAACAAGGTAAAGAAAAACCTTCTAATTTAATAAATATTTTCCTGAGTAGTGTTTTGACAAGAAACACTCAGATGAGTGATCTTTCTGAGACAGAATAAAATGGTTTCTTAGCAATTTTCCTAGGCACTCCAAATCCAGAATATGTTGAGCCGTAATGGCTTTCTTAATGCATCTTTAGCAGATGTAAATCACCACTGACCTATGGTATTGAGATATTTTTTCACCAACATGACAAGGTATCAGTAGTCCAGAATTTCAAATGATCCTAAGCATTTCTTCTTTGGTTGGTTTTTCATCTTTTTTTTTTCTTTTAGGAAACAGTCATGCAGGAACTTGTAGGCAAATATTGGATGATAAATTCAGTTATTCCATTTGCAGTGGTTCAGTGGACCCCGTTGCCTGTCTTGGATAATTTTTAATTTTAGTTTCATATAGCTAAAACTCAGTGTACTGTAAGATGTGAAACTGATTTACAGTGAGGTGTACATTATAAAGCTACCATTACAGCTATATAACGATATAACTGTATTATTTCCTTGTTCCTCTCGGTCTGTGGGTGCAGTCCATATCCTTTCTCTGGCTGGGCGTGGGTTGCTGCGTTCACCTGCGCTGGTGGCAGTGACTGCATCAGGCGTTTCAGGGGGGGATCGGAGGCGCTTGGGCGGGAGAAGGTGGCTGCTAGAGAGCTTTTCTCCGGTTCCCCGCTGTCTCCTCGATGGTTTTTCTCCCGTTCCCCGCTGGCCCGTCACGGCTCGGAGCCTCCCGGCTGCGGCCTGGCCCGCGGCCCAGCGGGGGCGCCCGAGCACCGCGGCGGCCGCGCCTGGAGCCTTCCTTCGGCTTCGCGTGTGGCCGCTTGGGGACGCGACGTACGCTTGAAACCCGTTTTTTTCTGTATCGGAGTCGTTGCTTTTTATTTTCCCACCGCCCCCCCTTTTTCTTATTTTCATTTTTTCCTTTTTTTTATTTATTTATTTTTTTTTTTTTCTTGTGAGAAGTATTTCAGAGGAGCAGCGGCTCCTCTGATGCTCTTCCGAACAGCCCACTTGTGACCCCTTGGTTGCCTCTTACAGCATAGCTGTGTATTGTAAGGGTCACTTTGCCTCGGGACGCCTGCACATTGACCTTATCTCAGCAGCTGACGTGCAAAATAAGCAAATTAGTGGTTGTTCAGACATTTAATCTAAAATTGGATACCATTAGCTGGTGAAATAAACCTTTGATCTCTTTGGGTTGAAAATACCAGCACCTTGCCCCTCTGGAATAACTCAGCACTGCTGGGAGGCTCAGGGTCATTATGGGACTCTTCAGTCTGCTGGATTGCTTCACCAGAGTTTAATTTCATTATCAAGCAATTTAATCCATTTTATCTTTACTTTTAATGAAAAGAATATTCTAACATTTCTCGCTTTCGAGTCTCTGATAAAGGATTTTTCATTTTTTTTTGAGTGAATTGAGGGCCAGTTGAGGGCCAGTGTTAGTTGCAGTGTCCAGTGCAGCAGAGGAGGAGGAGGTTCAGGCTGAGTCCTTGGTTTGCTTCAGCCACTGGAAGCATCTGGGCTGCCGGGGAGAGCTTCCAGAGGAGATCGTGACAGCAAGGACAGGGATGCTTATCTCTGGAATCTTAGCTTTCAGAGAGCTGACAGTACATCTCTGCTTAGACCACTGTGCTAAAATCTGAGAGCTGTTAATCTTGTGCAAAGAAGGCAGATCTGTTCAGGTTTTACCTGTAGAAATGAAGTGTTTAATGTCATGACTTTTATTTCAGTGAATGTAAGGGCTGAACTGAAAAGTTATGCATTTGTAATGACACTGTCTACATGTCATTTACAAAGAGGGTTCTTCTGTTTTAAAAATTCGGGTTGTATTTGTTTTGTTTTGTGCAATTTTTTTCTCCTTCTGGAGAAATAGTCTGCCAGTTTATTTTTAGTTTATTATGAGAATTTCTAAAGGTGAGGAGGAAAAAACTGAACTCAGTATGCAATTGGTGCAATAAATCAATGAAGAAGTGTTTAAGTGAGCTGCAACGTTGAAGTCTACACTATGTTTTTTGAAAAGTTTTGGATGTCTTGCTCTCCCTAATGGGAAGTACAAGCCACAGTGTGCTGATCTTTTTGTGTATTTTGCCACTGCTTCTTGTGCTAATGTTGGAAGTGGCTTTTGGAAGATGTTAGTTTTGTTAAAAGGTCATTCTTCCTCAGATGTGTTATTACATTATGGAAATTATTTTTATTTCATGCAGGAGGAGCTCAGAGAACTACATGAAGAACCAACTGATCCTCAGGCACAACAGGAAATAATTAACAGCATTGAAGAAGTTTATTTTTCCAATGACTCCTTTGATATTGTGAAGTATGAATTAGAGGTAAGCTATCATCTTGAAAGAAAAAATGGTAACATAACAAAAAATGAAGACCAAAAGTATGCTTGTTTCAATGGGCTATTTTTTGTTTCTTAGATCTTGTATGAGTACAACACTGTACTCCCCTACGTCATCTTGCAGTTGTGTGCAGCTTCTAGCATAGACTATTGGTGCACATATATAGTATATAGTCTCTTCTTTTAATGCAGTAGAGTGTGTTAACAGGCATATTGTAATTTAAACTGAAGTGAAAAAGTCAAGATAGGTGAGGAAACAAATCTTTTCTATATTTTGTGTATTTTTTTAGCAAACTGACAGAGACAATAATTTCTGTGATTGGGTGGTTGTGTGTATACATATATGACGTAAAATAGAGTAACTTTGAGATAATTATAATACTGCATGAAGCAATTATGATCATATATTGTATATTTTAACACTAATTGATTGCAGTATCCATCATTTGAAAAAAATGGATTAATTCTGCAAATTAGATTACAGAAGCCACAAGAATGTTTCTTTAATGAAACTGATTGCCTAGCTAATGCTATGTGTGAGTTAACAACCTTTAATTCTCACTGATTTTAATTTATTAAATGCAGAGGCTTCCTCCAGTACTTAGTCTTCAAGAACTGGAAGAGTACAGAGATAAACTAAAACAACAGCAAGCTGCTGTAAGTAAAAGTTTTTTCCTCTGTACTCTTACACAATTTGTTGTCTTGTCTGTAAGTCTAGCAAGAAATGTAACTGAAAAAAATTTGATTTCTTAACACATCAGATTTTTTAAACTAAGTATTTTTTTAACATCATGTTGTGTGCTTTTATAGTGGAAAATCATCACTAAATCATATAATCATATGAAATGATGAAAGTAAATCTTAGTGTTAAGTATTGTAACAAAGAGCAAATGTGCTAAATTTCTTTAGAAACTTGACTTTTTGAAAGTTTATCTTGTAATGTTCAACACAGTGCTGAATAGTGGACTAGTGGGACTTCTGGCAATGAGGGATTTCTGGCAATGTAAGACTTAAAATGTTTTAAAAACTCTCTCCTTGAAGATGCTATTTTCTCTTACTTTTCATTTGCCAATATGTTAATTGTTCACAAGGGTTTCTAGGGAACACAGATACAGTTATTATGTAATAAACCAAATGAAATGTAATGAGTAGTAACTGTGAGGTATGAGGCAAAATTGGAGTTGCAGCATTTGAAAGGTGCTTGTTATGTTGCAGAATTTTAAATTTTCTATTCATATGTTAATTGTTCTGTTACTCTTTTGAGATGAATAACATGGTGCAGGAAACAAATCTATTAATTGTGGCATTTGGAGAGTATCTGCAAGTAAAATAGAAGTAATAATCCTAATTCATGTCTTCAAATAAATGAAATGTATAGAGAATCTTGCGTTGTTAACAATACATAAATCAAGTGCCTTCTGCCTTAAACTGCTTTCCCCATAATACACCTATGAAGTTTTGTGAAAGAGTAGTAAGAAGTTGAGGAAATGAATATTCTGTGTTTCTCACCAAGATTTGTAAGGACAGAAATTGGAAGTGCATGAGAGGTAGTAATTTTTTTGGAATGTTTGTCTATGTGATGGTGGTAGGGTTTTTTTTTTAATTTTAAGAGGACATCATGTGGAGACCTTTTTTTGCAAGAAAGTGCTCTCAAGACTGAGACAACTTGAGTGAGCTATGCTGCATAATCCTGATATGTGTTGTCAATGTCTTGGCCATTTTTTGCTTGCAGGATGCGAACTGGCTGCAGCTGAGGGAGTAGTTTCAGGGCATGGCTGCTGCCATGAAATGTTTGAACTGAAATGTGCATGCAGCTAATGAATAATAGGAAAGAGAACTGAGCACAAGGCTTCCAGTAAATATGGCCAGATGTGTCTTTTAGAATACAAACAGGCAAAAGCTCTCAAAGCCAAAACTTTTGACAAGAAACATGTGCCCAGTTCTTCCCTCACCAACTTCCCCCAGTCAGGATTGGTCCTTGCTTGTTTCTTTCTTAATTTCATCAAAATGTGTTTCTGGTATAGGAAGGAATTATTTCCTCCTTGAGCGTGTGCCAAAGTGCTAAAATTTCTTATATGCTGTGTTTTGTGTCCTTATGTCGTATTTTCAGGTTGAGTGTGAGAGACTGTTGCATGTTTGTTTCTTGTGTCTCAGTTATTATACATTTATCTTGTGATAGGTCATTTAGAGAACTGTCTGCCTTAAAGGACGTTAGTGTCTTTCACGGAAGACAAAACTGCAGAATGTTGTATGTTGTTAGTTCAGTCCTAAAAATATTTTAATGGTGAATAGATTATTAGGTAGAGGATTCAAGAAGCCTGTTGACATATTACGCAATGGCTCTGCTTCTGCAAAAAACTAAATACTGCCTTTTTCACTTCAGTGTCTGTACCTGCAGCTGGCAGAGGAATTTACAATAATAGTTTGGAGATAATACCAACTTCTAAATTCTTCTAATGCAAAGCACTTATATGAGTGTGAATTACAGGTGCTAGAGCTCTGATCTTTAACAACTTACTGCTTTTGCACAGCTGATCTTGGTCATCCTGTTGTTTTCAGGGTCACTATAGACTTATTTTCTGTAGTTTTCTCAATAGTTTTCCATTCCACTGGAAGGATCCCAACTTGCTCAAACATTTTTTAATGTATGTATCATAACAACTTTAATTTGTAATTGTCTTGTTACAGACAATTTGGATTAGAAAGGCTTTTTAGTTGTATGTCTGCTGGACTTCATTTTAATTAGTGGTCTCATATCCTTCGCTATGTTGTTTTTTCCTTAGGAGATGAAATACTTTTTACTGATGTGATTAAGAAAGAGAAAATTGTTTGTCCCTTCAGCAAACGTTGTTGGCAGGCGTTGATAACCACGGTCACATTCAGTGCTAGCAGCTGCAGTTCAGGATTCCAAGACTGAGCACAACACAATTGTATGGAAGATGCCAAAAGGGGTGTGACAGCTTGGAAATAAATGAAGTATCTGGCGATAGTATTGCTCATCTGAAAAAGTATCTGAGGGCTTGGACCCTCAGAAAGAAAAGTAGTATCACTAAGTACTGGGAAAGAAAAAAAAGTGCCTGTGGCAGGTGCTTGTTAGTGTTGAGGTAGTTATTAGTCAAGGGTAACTGAGGACTTGCAAAACAAAAAGAGTGTAGAAACTGAAAATAAATGTATCTTTTATTCATGTATACTGCTTGAACGTTGCTTAACAGTACTAGAGCATTGACTATCTAGCAGATATATCCATGTTCTAAAGTTTTTTACAGGTACAGGACTAGAATGAAGAATACGTTGAAAAAAGAAGGTGAAAATTTCACAGTGCATAGACTGGAGTGAAGAAATTTTCTTAAGAGACCCAGGGTCATGTTGGCTTGTGTAGCATTTGGCTTGATAATATCCTATCCTGACCCCACCTCACTCTGGAGTGGTTCTTCTGCTGTCCTGCAGAGGAAGGATTTATTAGTTATGGAACAACTAAAAGGTTAAGAACAACTGAACAGTTTTAAAATTGCTCTGTGCGTCTGGCTTGCTTTTGATATGGAAAGAGGAAAACATAGCTGGGTATATGCTCCTTGTCCCTGATGACACTGGAATATTGCAAAGAGTATTTATGTGCAAGTGCTCTTCCAGAGGATGGGAATTGAGCTGGTGGAGCCAACATAAGATTGTTTCAGGAATGCTGATTGAAGAGCTCAAATCTGTGCTATGTTTAGGCAAACATAGCAGTCAAGCAGTCAAGTTTACAAAAACCTCTTTGTTTCTCTCTGCCAGTAGTGCATTGTGGGCTGGCTGTCATAGCCAGTTTTATTTTATTTCCACTTCTGGGAGTATTGTTCCCCCAAAAGGATATAGAGCAATACCAATAATTCCTTTGTCATGTATGAAACCAGTTCTTAAATATGTTTAGTCCCTGATGGAAAACAAAACTAAATACACTATTCTCAAGCTGGCGTTTATAAGACTGTTACTGTTGGATTTCTTTTTAAGCTTCTGTGTTTGTGGACAAGAGATTGATTAAGGTAGCAATGCCCAGTTTTTAAATTCAATACAGACAGCAGCTCTCAGGAGTGTTCTACTTAGAATACTCAGAGAATGGAGAAAATTTTAAAATATACATATTCTGTGTTCTAAAGAAAGGGTATAATATGTAGAGGATGCATATTCATTTTGGCATAGTTTTACTTTAATGCAGTATCGGTCTCAAAGATAAGTGTTCTTATGTTAAATGTGTTGTGGTTTAACTCTAGATGGCAATGAAGTATCACACAGCCTCTCACTCACTTCTCCACCAGTGGGATGGGGGGAGAATGGGAGGAGTAAAAGTGAAAAAGCTCATGGGTTGAGATAAAGGTAGATAATGCAGAAGAAATAGCTAAAAATAGGTAAAGCAAAAGCAACTGAAGCAAAACAGGGAATTAATTCACTGCTTTTCATGAGCAGGCAGCTGTTCAGCCTTCTACAGGAGAGCAGGGCTCTATCATGTGTAGCATTTATTTTTGAAGACAAATGCCATCACTCTGAGCATCCTTCCCTTCCTTCTTCTCCCCAAACTGTATGTGCTGGTCATGACGCCGTACATTTAGGATATCCCATGGGTCAGTTGAGTCAGCTGCCTCAGCTGTGTCCCCTCTCAGAGGTTTGTGCACCCCCACCCCACTTGCTGGTGAGGTGGTTCGAGGAATAGAAAAGGCCTTGATTCTCTGCAGGCACTGCTCAACTGAAACACCTCTGTGTTATCAAAATGGTTTCAGCTCAAGTACTTTGGAGAAAATTGAATACCCCAGCCCAAGCCAGCACACCATGCTGTGTCATTAGCTTAAATTTGTAGTGTAGCAATAGCATGAGCAAAATGTAAACACTTGCAGTACCCCAAATTATTTCTATTTGCTTTTCTAGCATGTTCATTAACAAGTAGAGAGTTAAGTGAGTAGTCTAAAAATGCGCACTAATTGCTAGATGGACTTGTGAACATTTCTCTTATCTTCGTTCTAAGGAAAGCTCATCATAACTTTTACAATTTTTTTATATGTTGTTGTGGAATATTTGTTAATAAATGCAGAATGTTAATAAATGCAGAATGTAATGGTAGAGAATCATAAGCTTGTAGAACTTTATTGTGGGCATGGCCTATGTAATTGAGATTGCTATGTATCACATGGAGTGTTCTTCTTTTTAAGGTATCTAAAAAAGTTGCAGATTTAATCCTTGAAAAACAGCCTGCATATGTTGAGGTAAGACAACTAACAATTTTCAAGAATAAACTGCTCAATTTTGTGCTGTTATAATGCTGCAGTTTTGTCGTTACAGTGATTTGTAGTAGGGGTGCTAGTGCCTGGTTAGAACCAGCTCTTTTGTATGCTAAAGCTCTGTCTCTATAGTGAAAACCAGCGGTGTATTGAGTTGAAAGTCCTTAAGATGATAAAGATTCTGTAATATGGTCATTTTACAAGGCCTTCTGAAGAATTCAGGAATTCACAGGATTAGCTAATACCTGTAACAGACTTGGAGCAGGAGCTGCTTTATTGCCCCTGTTTAGGAGTGGTGTCACATCTTATTCCATAAGAGAAAGCAGTAGTGATCTTTCTTAAGATCACTTACCTGCCACTAATCACAGGCAGTTGTGAGAATCACAGAGTCACAGAATATGTCATGTTGGAGGGACCCACTAGGATCATCAAGTTCAACTCCTGTCCCTGCAGAGAACCATCCCCTAAAGTCACACTGTGTACCCGGGAGTAATGTCCAAACAATTCTGCAAAGTGAAAATGGTGATTGTTAGTAAGTTAGTCTGAGAATGGTGAATACTTTTGTTTGTGTACAGCGCCTTACATCACCATTGTTGTACTGGTGATTATGGCAATTCTTTGGGCAAGAAGCTGGAGAGAGTGTGGAAGAGCAAAGATGGCTTCCTGGCTGTTAACCTGTGGTAGATGTCATGGAGCTGCAGTAATTTTCCTCATAATCCAGAGGACACAACATCCTTTTTGTTCTCTTGCTCTTATGGCCAGTGCATCCAGCCTTAGTGAAGTTGCCATCTGTGCTCTGGCATCATTACCTGGGGAAAGGAGTGCTGCTGTTTAAAGAACAGTGTGGGGAGGGGAGAAGTGACCATTGCTTGCATCATCTCCTTCGATAGCAGGTGGAAGAAAAAGGCTGTAACAGTAAAGTTGTTTCAGTTTTAGTTAAAAGGGTGATGAGGTGGGAGGCTATTGCAGAAAGAGGCTGGTAAGTGCAACTGTACAGTAAGAGCTACTGGTTGAGTCTTCACAAGATCATGTAGAAGGGGAAGAAGGGGTAATTGTATGGTATAAAAATATTCAGGTATTATTTCACTGTTGTGTGGGTTTGGAATTGATAGTTTTGAGTGAGTGCTGCTTTTCCTGAATCCAGCAGCTTCACCTTGAAAACCTCTCACTGCATAATGGAACTGCAGCAAATGTTCTTGCATTTTGCTGTGTAATGCTAATGTTCTTATTGCAGACATCTTAGTGAGGTGAACCTATTTCATACCTAGAAGTGCTTTCAGATATTCCAAAAGACAGTTAAAAATCCCTTGTGCCAGTAAAAATCTTAAAAAAACCTTTCCTTAAATGCTTTTGTGCCTGATTAAGTCAATAATCCTTCAGTGTTACTTACAGGCACAGACCTGCACAGAATTATTCTTGTCAGTAGACTTTTTGGAGATTTCTGGTGGGCATTTAGTGAATCACTTTCCCACTGATTCACTAAATGAACCTCCTGCTGTGCTGTGTGAACTTGCAATGGCAGCTCCAGTTCAACTACAGTAACAAATCATTATAAGAACCAAAAATGCAATTGAACACATATCCTGGACACATTTTCACTGTGCAAAATGTAGTTTAGGGGTATTATGGTTTGAAGCCCATGCCTAATGTGAAGTACTGGTCTAACAGGCACTCCTGTGGCCACAAGATGCATGGCACAGAGGCAGGGTAAGGGATTTACAGTTTTCTGTTCTTGGATGAAAGACTGTTTTTGAGAAGAGGAAAATTGTATTCAGCCCTAAATGGTGGGCAGAAGACTCCCTCTTTGGGAACATTTAGACTGCACTCTCTTCCCATTCCTCTTCATCCAGTTGTGTTTGAAAAAGAGATTTTACAGAGTCTTTGCAAGAAGGAGGACTGGAGTGGAGTTGCTCCTTATTGTATGTGTTTCCTCATGAACATGGGAACAATGGCTTTTTGAGTAGCTGTGGTATTTGCAAAGTATGTTTTTAGGGAGAAGTAGGTATTGAGGAAAGTAATCTTCAAGTTTGGTTTCTTAAGATATTTTGCATATCAGCAACGAGGCTGTCATTTATAAGAAGGCAACACTGGTAACATAAAGGAGCAGGTTGTGGTGGAAGATGCAGCTTAGTGATTTGGAGACTGACTGGGAGCTGATCTAAAGCTGAACTGAACTTTGAACTCATTTTTGTTTGTCATATTATTAGAATTAAATGAGTTTTCAAAGTGAAAATCTCGCTTCTCATGGAAAGCACTTGATATATTTTGAATTGATTAGCAGAATTAAAAGATAAAATAAACCTCCCCTGCCAAAAAAAACCAACCCCAAAAACCATAAAAACCCTCAAACAAACAAACAAAACTCTTTTTTCTGTAGCCTGGGGAAAGAATGCATTTTTCTGCAGAGCTGTTCTAACAAAAGAAATCCTAATAATTATATTAAAACATTTATTTTTTTCAAGGAGTTGAGATTATGCTAGGCACTTCCCTAAGTCAAAATCAAGCTAAATTCAGGTCACCTCTGCTGAAGAGTTTTCAGCTGAAAGTCAACAAGATACAATTAACATTCATTATGATGTGACATCTATTAAATTGGTGGAACACAAGTGCTTCTAAACAAGAAGATGCTGTGTGAAACATAATTTGAGTTTTTTGTTTTGCTGCTCTCAGGCATATTAATGCAAATTAAACCCTGTGGTTCTATCCCTGAAGCTTTGATCATTCTGTTGTGATGCATTAATGGTATAGAAGTTTTTAGACTAAATGTGCAATATATAAATGTAGAGGGCCCCACTGCAATGAAAACATATTTCAACTGTCTTATCTTCAAAAGAGAATTGTATTTCAAAATATAGTTTATGTGAATGTTACATTGCAGTACTTAGTGTATATAAAATGATGAAACAAATAATATATGAAGTAACTCCACAAAGTCATTATAATATCTCAAGAGAAATGTACTAATCAGTAGTCTTCACTGGTGTGTAACTTGTTTTGTATTTGTTTAACTTGTATATTTGTTTAACCTGTTGTCTCTCTGTAGGAACTTGAACGTGTTACGTCATTGCAGACTGGCCTTCAGCTAGCAGCAGTTATTTGCACAAATGGAAGAAGGTATCTTCCTTAAGGAACTACAGAGATTGAGAGTGGGGAAGTATTTAACAGGAAATCTGTAAACCCAGGAAGTTTGCTAGCTGATGACATTTCCTGTTCATGTGCTGAATGTTATTAGCAGTAGTAGTTAGAGATACTAAAACAGTTGCAAACTCTTGCAGCTTTCACTTTTGCAGTTGGTAGTTTTCTTTGAAGCAGAAAGCTTTGGAGATACACAGACAAGTGCAGAAGGGAGGATGTACCTTCTTAGTACATTTATTGTACCATTCTGTTGGTACAATCTCATTTTCTGAGTTCCCCTAACAATGCTGACAGCCTTATCTTCTACCATGTATTTTGTTGGACTTGTTAGAATTGATTGGAAGTAAGTTTTATTTTATGAATTGTTGAAGATTATGTTAATTTTTACCTTGCAGACACCTGAATATAGCAAAGGAAGGGTTCACACAAACTAGTTTGGGGCTCCTTGCAAATCAGAGGAAACGACAGTTGCTTATTGGACTGCTGAAATCTCTGAGAACAATTAAAACACTGGTATGTACAGTTGTTTTAGTTCAGTAGCAAATATTTTTCTTAATTCCTGCATAGTAATGACTGGATTTTTTTTTTTTTTTTTTTTTTTAGCAAAGAACTGATGTGCGTTTGAGTGAGATGTTGGAGGTAAGTCCCCAGCAGACTGGTATAATTTGAAGCTATTCTACGTCTACATTTGTAGTCATCTTAATTTTTGTCTTGCAAACAGGGTGTGTGCATGGGATAAAATTATATTTTTATTCTTCTTTTAAACTGAGAAAACCTATATATCAAATTAGATAGCCCTGCTGCCGGGGGACAGTATTTTCTATCAAAAACTCATTCCTCCTTTACGTCTGGGCACTGAAGCTTGAGTTAGTTCAGTAAAATTTTGTGCGGTCTTCACTTAGCTCTGCTCTCAACTTATACCTGTTTTCTTTAGCTTGATACTTGGGGAAGAAAAAAAGATGAGAGATTTACCTGATTGTTGATAAGCTGGGTCTGTATCAAGAATTTCTATTGATATATTACAATGTAAATCTATAGATGGGCTCCCTGCTCAGCATTTTATTTGTAAATGCAGTAGCCTTTTGTCCTTATTCATTGGGTTGGCTTTTTAATTCAGTTGTAGAAAACATTGCAACATGCAGGCCATGACACTGAAAATTCTTATGCTGTTATATATAGTGGCTAAAAATGCAGTAGATAGTGTACAGAGGAAAATAGGATCTTGTCTTAAGGTGATGAATTGTATGAAAGGAAGCCTCAGGATTTTATTGACAGCTGTAGTACTTGTAGTGTAACAATTTCGACTTACAAGTTTACCAGATATTTTCAGCTAATACTGGAAGGAATGTCATGATGACAATCCCCAGTTATTAAATTTGGAAATGGAATCTTAATAGTTTCAGCTTTCAAGATTCTGTGAATTAAATTCCATCTTGAGTAAGTCACCTTGTGTCAGCAAACTTTCTTACTCTTTACCAAGCAAAATGGCACTCATTTTCAGGTGGCATAAAGGCTTTCTGCTCTGTACGATGATTTTCTTTTAATTTCTGTGCTGTGTTTTGCTTCCCAGGAAATTAACTCTTCACTGTCTACTGGCAGGAGTTGTCCTGAGGAAGTGTGGTTGTTACATTCACACACAGACCCTAATGTCTGATTACCATAATTGCTCAGTGATTTTTAAGGGCTGGAACTGCTGTTTTGGCAGAGTGTGGTTGTAGAGCTGTGCTCAGTGTCTGCTCCCAGTAAGTTATTCCAGCTACTGGCCCATTTATTTTCTGTACTCCTAGAAGTTAGTAGGTTGATTCGAATATGCATGAGAGATATTAGTAGCCACTCAGAGAAGAGCATTTTGAAAGGGTTCCCAATTAAAAAAAGACCTGGAATGAAGTTATGGTAGCTTACAGGGCTGAGCTGCATCTGGAATATATTAGTAATATATTTTATGCAAGCAGGCTTTCTGATGTGAGCCATGTTAGACTTAATGGAGCAAGTACTAGGTTTCCAGTGGAGAGAAATATAAAGAGCTAAAAATGCAGCAGTCCTTTTAGACTAGTGTGCTGTTCTGTTTTCATCTAATGGATAATGTATTTAGGGTTTTTTAATGTTTTTTAGTTAAATTTGATCTGCATTAGAACATTTCTGGTAAAACCAATTTCATTTCAGAAACTCCTCTATGATAATAGCTGAATATGGATTACCCTTGCGTTTTTGCTCTTCAATCAATGATTGAAATTCCAGTAACAGCTTTGCATTTGAGCTCTCTAAAGCACGTAATATAACAGATGTAATTATGACAAAACCCAGAAGCTCTTAACTATTAAAGATAGTTTCTCTTCTTCCAAGGTTCTTTCTGGTCTCATGTCTAATAGAATACAAAAATAATAAGTATATCTGAGGCAATGCCCATGTCTTGTTGGTAGGATCCTTGGGTTTTACATTTTTGTGTGTATGTTTTTGTTTTATCCTCATAATATTTCCTCATTGAGCTGTCTACCTATATAATTCTTATATATTAGGAAAATGCATCCATAGTGTATTCTTTGTTTCCTGAGGCCTTCTGTGAGTCAATTGTGTTTAAGCTAATTTCTAATGAGCTGGATGTGTCAATTTAAATAGTGTTTATTTGGGTATATTGTTGGGAGTGTCTTCCTTGTCTCCTTTTATGTTTTATAAAGGATGGGAATAGGCTGCCAGTGCCTGAATTAACCTCTTTCCATGCCCATTAATAGATTACTGGGAAGATGTTAGTTGTTCTGTAATAAAAACTTGGTGATGTATTTTTATGTATTTAATACAGCAAGTTGTTTGCATGAGGTAATGTAATACCTAGTGTTTTCAGATGTTGCTAATTCTAATCTACCTGCACATCAAGTGCTGCAGTAGACCCTCACTCTTTAACTTTACTGTGGAGATAGGAGAGGTAAAATGTTTTATTCCTAATGTTTATACATAAGCATGCAAGAAAAATGGGTATTGCGCTGTTGCTTCAGATGAGCTTTCAATTGTATTTTATCCTAAGGAAGAGGATTATCCAGGAGCTATTCAACTCTGCTTGGAATGCCAGAAAGCTGCCAGCACTTTCAAACACTACAGTTGTATAAGGTAGGATGACATTGTGCAGATGTCAGCTTTCTTATGATTTTGTTTGTGATCATTGATTCTCATTCTCTAAAGAAAGTTTAATTGAAGAGCAATTTTCAGCTTAGAATAGTAAAATTGAGGCAGTTATAAAAGCGTAAGTATTATGGAAGCCCTTCTATTTGAAGGTTCATTGCATGTGGAGAAACAATAAAGCAATACTGGCTACTCTCTTTAGTGTTTAATGGCAGTTCTTTTTGATGTCTTTTTTTCCATTTAAGCTTTTTTTGCAGGGTGTTGTACCCTATTTGTCTAAAGGAAACGAAAAAGGAGGGTGATGGTTGTATCGTTTAAGCGTGAAGAACTAAGCAGAGATGCTAGAATCCGTCTTTTGATAATTAATATAGGCTCCTAAGGAGAACATTCACAGCACAGAGGGTAGTTGTCTAAAATCAGATATGGTGATTATTTAATGAAAACTGCTTTCTGTGCAAAAAGATAATATCCTGCCTATTTCTTTGTTGCTTTGACCCTTCCAAACAAAAACATAGTAGTCTTTTTTTTCTTTTTTTATTCCTGCTGTTATGAAATCTTTAAAGCTGGTTGTTGCAAAGGTGCAGTGGTGCCTTTCTTTGTCCTAAATAGTTTCTCTTATGGTAGCTGTTTCAGTTAATTTTTTATACCAACTTCAATTTTTTTTCTGAGAAGGCCTAAATTCTCTTTTTCCATTAGCATTTCTGCAAGGGGTTCCTGAGCAACAAATAAAAATTACTGTAGTTTGCAAAGACTTGACAGCCCTGACCCTTCTGGGTACGTTCTGCTGTGGACCACAGTGCAAAAACATTTAAAGCAAGTTTCTTGGGTGTTGGGAATGTCTTTGAATTCTTAGTTAAATCCTAGCAGGATGGAGTTTTGTCTAGACCCTCTTAACACTGTTGTCTTATAAACCTAGAATAATGCACTTTTCAACATAGCAGTGGTGTGATGGTGCTAGTCTGACACAGCAGCAATAGCTTAGTGGTTTATGATGAAATGCTATGTTGTGGCTCAGTAGCAGGGTTTTTGGAACTAAGAAATGGTCTGAAATGTTTATATAATCAGTAATTTTATTCTGAACATTTTTTTGTTCATCAATAGTGAGTTAAATTCAAAACTGCAAGACACCTTGGAACAAATAGAGGTAAGAATTAATATACTGATGTTTAGTATATGTTAATATTTAACGTCTGAGTATGTGCTAGTATTTAATCTCTAAGTACTAGAGCTTTCTAGTAAAGTGTTGGTAGCAATTATAGAATGTGTATGGTCAGCAAACTGGAAGCTGCTGGATAGGACCAGTGCTAAGCTGCTGGAAATAAGACTTGAAAGTCTCTTCTTGAAGGAAGAGACTAAGGCTGGTTTAAGTTCGTAGATAGTATCACAAAAGGAAAGGAATATAAAATGTTAAGTTTCTTCCTGGAAACTGGTGGAAAAAAAGGGAATGCTTTGAACTCCACTACTAGGTAATTTTGAGCTGGAACTTGGCAAACTTTGTGTAGGAAGTCTAGTAATGTAGGTATGTATAATGTGTATGTGATGCATGTAATGCATACACATGTAATGTCTAGCAGGAACCTGAATTAGCTATTTGAGTAGCTGTCTACACCTGTTGTTACATGCTGTTCAGAAAGTCAGACTACCACTTCTTTTATCCTACCTTGTTATTTAATTCCCTGTAAAATTAAAATGTTGTCAATTTCCTTCAGTTATGTCTTTGTACTTCAGCTTTTATGCAAAGCACTTTTTTGTTCCTTTAGTCATTCTCAGATAGTACTTTATTCAGAGCATGTCTGGTTCACAAATGGTGAATGACTGTTTTCTTCCTACATTACCACAGGCCGTGTGAGAATGAGCACTCATTTTTCCCTTGTGAGCAAATACTGATGTTGCTTAAAAAGAGACATGCATTTTTACTTCCTTCCAGTAACAGCTTTGAAGAGCAAATCTGATCTTATCAAAATATGATAAAATGTGCCAAATTGGTTGGTGAAAGCAATTCACAGCTAACTAAATAATCACGCTCAAGATTTTTATTCATTACTTGTGAAATTATAAAAATACTTTCTTCCTGTGAAAATATCTTATTTTTTACTGGAGTTATGCCTGTGCATATGGAAGAAACATAAGTCATCCTGGGGTCCATGGAGTATTGCTGAAAAATACATGGTCTAATTAATATACAATAATATTCTGCTAGTTAGGATTTCCATAATGAGTCTTTCCAATAGTTGAGTGCCTCTACTTAAGTGCATTCCTTTTCCCATTTTTTAAATATTTTTTTAATTTAGGTTTTAATACAGATCTTACTTTTATACTGAGTTACAAATAATGATGGCTTTTACAAATACAGGATGGCTTTAATGGAAGGAACTATTGACAAGTGTAACAGAAAAGATTAATGTTCTCTGTTTAGTTGCTTGTTCTTGGGAGTGGTGGAACTCTTTGGATGACACTGAAGTACTTACGCTGCAAGAAGTAACACTTAAGCACCTCAGAGCAGTCCAGTCACACAAAGTCTTAGTTACTTTACAACCATAATTATCACACTGCTTAAATAAACATCTTCCTCACTTGCTGTTGTTTAAGTAATGCATTACTTGGCCTGTTTTTTGTAGTGTTTAATGCATTTTTTCTTCCATTTTTATAGGAACAACTGGACGTAGCGCTTTCCAAAATATGCAAGAATTTTGATATCAATCATTATACAAAGGTTCAGCAGGCTTACAGGCTGCTTGGAAAAACACAGGTTAGTACTTCTCTTCTGAGGAAATCACAAAGAATAGTCATGTCATAGCATGAAGCTTTGAGTACTGTGATGGAAATTTATTTTCCTAATTGTTGTGGTTTAATCCCAGGTGGCAGCTAAGCCCCACACAGCTGCTTGCTTCTTCGTCCTTGGTGTGATGACAAAGTCAGAGGGCAGGCAGGTGTTCAGTCATCCCCAGCACAGCAGGAATCCATCATGTGTAACAGTGACTTGTGAGGACAAACTTCATCACTCCAGACATCCCCCTGTTCTTGCCCCAGCTTTTATTACTAAGCATGACACCACATGTTGTGGAATTTCCCTCTGGTCAGTTGGGATCAGCTGTCCTGGCTGTGTCTCCTCACAGCTCCTTGTGCACCCCCAGCCCACTCTGGAGGGTTGGGGTGAGAAGCACACCCTGTGTAAGCTCAGCAATGGCTAAAACATCCCTGAATTATCAACACTCTTTTCAGCACAAATCAAAACCATAGCCCATGCCCCATACTAGCTACTGTGAAGAAAATTAACTCTGTTCCAGCCAAAACCAGCACACTAATGCTGGTGGGTCTTGCCAAATATATGTATACAAAGGTTTTTATAATGCTCACGTAATTTAAGAGTATTTGCTAAAGGTAAGCTGTGTGTTACTGCAAAATGTAATTTTTGGACAGGTTATAAGAGTAACAGTTACATATTTCAGCTCTGTTTATACTGCTGTTTGCACTACCCATTCTGTTTGGTCATGTGAATACTATTTTTTATAGCTAAGTCTGTTTTTTGGGGTTGTGCACTACCTCTGCCTTGAGGATTTCCATTTTATATTGTACTGTTAACATGATGGCAATGTAACATGTGAGGAGATATATTTTTGCAGCAAAATACATCCCATGGCATGTCAAACACATACTGTGGACATGTCCTGAAAGTTACATCTGTGTGTGCCTAGAGCATTTTATGTGTATATAAGAGTAGACCTAGGTTCTCCCATAGGATGGAGTTCTCTTCTGTTTGGTGCACTGTCTTGAGGCTTCATATTAGTTTGTTTCTCTGAGGAGGCAATTAGACAGTTTCCTTCAGAAGGTATGAAGTATGGCAGCTAATATCAAGGTCCTGTGGAGTAAGGGGGATAAGGAGACATGAAAGTCTTGGAGGCATGTTTGTCAGTGATCAGTGCTCATAATACAGGCTGAATGTGGCGATGCCAGTGTAACAGGGATTGATTTGCTTAGGGAAGAGATTCCCCCAGAAAGCTTTAGTTGCTAAAGATCAAGTCAAAGCACCTGTCCCCTGGTGAAGACAGGACAAGAACCCAAATAATTTTTTATTATGTTTGGCTTTTTTAATGCTCTTTCCTGATTTCAGGAGAATATCTGATATAAGATTGCCTTTCTTGTTTTAAATTTTTGTTTGTTTGTTTTCCTTCTTTCTAATTAGAACCTTTCTAGCAAAGTTAGGTTCTTTTTTTCTTGGCTTGACTGTAAAACCAGTGGAGGTCTGCAATAGGATAGAAAGGGATTTCTCTTCCATGCTTTGTTAATGTGCAGAACTATTGAGATGCCTAAAGACTGCAACTTAAAATCAGGGGAGAAGTTTAATTAGACTTGTCATTTTTTTAGTGCTCTGTATTCAGTTTCTCATTTACTGAAGAAAAATAAGTACATGACACGTTGAGAAAGGCAGATATTTGTTGGAGAGGAATGAAGTTTCTGACAGAACATATATGTTATTTGTTACTGCATGGTTTTGCTTGTTTTTTCCATTATAGAGAGACTTGGTTTTGGCATTCTTTTTATTACTAGTAAAGTACGTATTTTGAACTTTTCCTGAAAATAATTTAGTTGCATTTTTTATTGAAATCTCTCCCATATTGACTTCTTCTCAGTAAACAAAATGTCAAGGTCCTTCAGTATCTTCAGTACTTTTCATTATTTAATTTGTCATTCTGTTTTCTTTAGCTAATTCGGTTTGGACTACCTGTAGAAAATGGGCTGTTATCAATAGGATTTAAGTAGAATTGCTTCTTCATTTCTTGTGGAGTGGTCGAGTTCTCAGCTTTAGTTGGTAGCTAAAAATGTCAAATAGGAAGTAGTGAAACTGAGCACTTTCAAATCTGCTGATTACATGTGTGTGAAAACAGTGAGAAAATTCAGTTTCTGAAATGAAATAATGTTACTTACAATTTATTAGGAACAGGGACACTGGGGAAATGTCCTGACCTGAAACTCAGACATGATTAGGGCAAAATGAATATGTTACATAGTCATTAGTCCATAGTACATGTTATTTTTCCTTGGAAAAGGTAGTCCTTTTTTTTTAAACAAATGTATTTTTTTTCCCTACCAAAAAGAAGAGTTTTATAGGAAATTTATTTATATGATGTGCATGCCTTTCTGTAATGCTTAATTGTACTTTGGTTCTTCACTCTGGCAAGTGGATGAGGCCTTTGTGATTGTGTTTTTAATTTTAATGATTGCAAAGGCAATATTTTTGATTTAGTTGGCAGTGTTTCCAGTGGGAGAAAGAGCATGAATCCCAACTAATTTATTTTTGACATGTTGTCAGTGATTGGGAGGAGGCTAAATGAGTGAGTAAATTCTATAATTAGCTATATTATATTAATATGTAGTGACAGTGTACAAAAAAAGGTAAAGAGGGAAGATGGCAGAGGAAACTGATTTTACTTGCAATACCTGAACTCTTTTATGAGACCATATTGTAATATTGTCAAGATCTGTGTTAGGTATTTTCGAGACAGAGATTGGAGGACATGCTTACAAGTATTCAGTACTGAAAAAGATGTATGTTAAAAGATGATGGCTAAAATGGCTAAAAGATGGTTTGGCACATGACAAATTGAGTTTTACTGTTTGGTTTTATGTTACTCTATTTCTTTCAGACAGCAATGGACCAGTTACACATGCACTTCACCCAAGCCATTCACAACACTGTGTTTCAAGTAGTCCTTGGGTATGTGGAGCTGTGTGCTGGAAACACAGACACCAAGTTTCAGAAGTTACAGTACAAAGACCTCTGTACAGTATGTAATTCTTGCATATATGTATTATTTTTAATCTGAATTTTTTCACTGTTGTAGGTGTACCTTTTGTCAGTAGGGACTAATTTGTTAACCCTATAGCTGCTCTAGTTTCTTAATACAGCTTATGACTATTTGAGATATTTGTCACTCATAACTTAATGTTGGTTTTGATTGCATAAATCTTAGCACCTTGGAGATTTTGTGCACTCCATCTAACAAATACCAACATTTCAAAATGTGTGTGTCTTCAGTATGATATACTTGTTAGTGGAATAACTGTTATCTTTGAACTTTATTCCAGTGCCTTTAGGAAGTATTCACAATTTCTCTGATACTGCATTTCAGTAAGAACTCCTGTAAAGACTCTAATTTAATTGGTGTCTTCTCATTATTCCTAGCTTTGTATCATTCACTTTTCATTCTCACATGTACTTTTGCACTTTTGATAACAGGATAAGGGACAGCTATAATATTGAGATATGAAAGCCTGATGATAGGCAGATCATGGGCTGGGAATATACATATGTTTTCCTCTACTGCAAATTTTAAGTGCAGTTTCTTGCATATTTTGTAATGTTTTTAGAATGAATGTAGCATTTTTTAATTCACTCTCTTAATTTTTTCACTTGGGATTTTACTGTTACATCCTGAGAAATTTTCTAAAACTTCAGTGATGGGGAAGAAGAATGTGAGGTATTTTAGGTGGTTCTAATGTTGAATTACAATTTGAAATTATGTTTCTATCTTGAATGTTCTTTAGGATGTTGGTTGTCAGTCACAGACGAATCCCTCATACTTCATCAATTTAAGGACCCATCCCATCAGCTGCAATTTATTAAATTGAAATACACTCACAAGGAGATTAAAGTTCATATTCTGGTCCATTTTCTGTTCTTTCCCTTCTCTTATCTCCTGGGATTATACTGCCACTAGTAATCAACACGTCTGCATTGTAAACCATTTCATTGTAAAGAGGTGCCTCTTTGACTTAAAAAGTTTATATTATCTAAGAACCTTCATATAAGTAGAAGTGTGATAAGCAAAATAAATTTATTGGGAATAATTGACTTAAGTGTTCATGAACATAATGAGTAAGTTTCTGGATAGTTGGTATTTCCAATTCACTGAGATGAATTCTAGTTGCAGAAAGCCAGCAAACCCTGATCTGTGTTCTCCAGACTGTAGTCTGGAGTTTCATCTTTCTTCTATAAGCCTTCAGAGTGAGGTTTTATTTTTGTTTCTTAGTTTCTAATGAACTTCTCTTCCAAGGTTGTTTTTTTTTTTTTTTATACTTCTGTATATCCTTCAGTTCATTTCTAACTTGCTGCTAATACTAATGAAAATAAGCCCACTTATTTACACTAAGAAACTACTACTGAGTTGCTTCTGAGCAGTTCGAAAATCCAGGTTGTGTGTTGCTGTTTATCCTTATACTTGAGTGTGTGGAGGAATCTTTCAGGTACTTGGAAATACCACATTTTGTAATACACAGAAGGAGGGTGGCTTTAACTGCATGATTACAAAATTATTACCTCATTATTTCTGTTAGTCTTTACTTATGCAAAGTCTTATTGACATGATGCTTAAGTTAATGTGACCCTGCAATAGCTGGCATTCTGTATAAATGAAGGTACTCAAATGTTGAGATTTTATTCTACTGTGAGTATTGCTGCAATTGCATTGAAATTTACTTTTAAAATTTTTCATTCCTATATTGGTAACCATTAGATATTTAGGGACAGGCTGTAGATGGGAGATTTTGGTCTCACCATGCTGTTCAGTGTTGGTGCCTGTTGTAATACATTTGTGAAATCAGGGTGCTGAATAAGATGAGCTATCATAGCAATTCAGTTTCTAACTTCCTGTAGAAAAAACAGCAGGTTTTCATCTCAAGCATTCATTTGTTGAGGAACAAATTGTTCAAGACTGAAATATGAGCCCATTTTCTCTTCGTTTAGTTGAAGTGAGAGCCCTCGTCAGGCTGCCTATGCTGTTAAGCCAGGATGCCCTTAACTTGTGAAGGGTTATGGAGTACTTACTCTAATTAAGCAAGGGAGTGTAAAATTGAAGTATTCCTTTTGAGGCAGGTATGCTGCTGTGTGTTTCTGAAAATCTGTCAAAATGAACTCATCTAGCTTATTTCCATTGTACATTGGTAGTGAGGGACTATAGTGGCTTTTTTCTTTGTTTTGTTTGCATTTTTTTTGGAAGTCAGATATGGATATTATAATAATGTCAATCTTTAAAAAAAGAGTAATGTTTTCAGAAGTTCTTAAGCCTTTATGAAAGTTAGTGCCTGTCTACTAAGAGTCACTGATTCATTGTTGAGTCTTTCTTTTCTTAGCAATATGCCATGCTTTTTCATGTTTTCTCTTTTTGAATATTTCTGGAGCAGGGCAAAGGTTTGCTGCTTCAGTCTCAAGTTTTAGTTTTCTTTATTCTAGTATAAGCTCAAAGAAATTCAGTTGTTTCCTTACTTTAAATTGAATTATCTTGGTATTTAGTAAGTAATCCTTTCTTCCTGTCCACCTGAAAGTCAATATGTCTTCAAGTATAGTGATTTGCACAAGAAAACTTTAGATTTTAGATACTAAAAGCCCTGAAATCCAGTAAGAATAACATTTCTTGATAAGTTAGTAGAGAAAATTGCTGAATCAGCAACTTTGGGGTTTTTTAAACTACTGTTTTAAAAATCATTTAACCCAATGGGATATTTGCCAGGAAGGCTTCTTTGTACAAAAGTCTGTGTCCTTGAACTGACACATAGGAGTGGCTGCATCCCTCTGATAGTGGGATGGCCTTACTTCTGCATCTCTGTCACTGTAAAATAAACGTAAGAGGTAGTTAGCATACAGGCCAATTGAGAAAATTAAAAACAAGATGCTAACAAAAACACTTTATGCTTTTGGACAGCATTTGATTAGTTGACCAAAATCAGGAATTTGTCACATCTTAAAATACATTTGAAAATGAAACTGATGTATGTCAGCTCAGCTGTATGAATTTAGAGTTTCTTATGGTTTGTGTTGCTGCAGCAAAAAATGAACACCATTTTGAAGTTTCCCAATGCTATTTGTTGTTCTGTAGCACATTACATCAGACAGCTACATTCCATGCCTTGCTGATCTCTGCAAAGCCCTCTGGGAAGTCATGCTCAGTTACTACCGAACGATGCAGTGGCATGAGAACCACGACCAAGATGAGGCAGCAGTTGTGTCTTCTGGTAAGAAACCTCTGGGAACAAAACTTCTGGTATTTGGAAATAACTTTTCTGGTGCTCAAGTTATGAATTTATGTGTTGGTATCTTTGTGTTCTTGACTCAGTGCCTTTAGCATTTTTGCTGATAGTGTGCAGTAAGGACTAAAGCACTCACTGGTTTTTTTTTACTCTTCAGTATAAGATTAATTTTTTAATGAATATTTGTATGTGCCAGTCTTGCAGATATAAATGATTTTATTTCAAACAGTGTTTAGGGGAAATGTCCTTCCCCTATGGTGTGCTATCTTAAAAAAAGATCATTAAAAATATTTTTCAGTAAAAAAAATTATTTTGGATTGCTGGAGCTGTTTTTGAGTTGAAGCCATTGCTTGAGTTGAAAGTTTTTATAGCTGTATCAGATGTAAAATTCAGAGTTGAAATATTTGCTTTTGTGATGTGAAGAAAGATTCTAGAGTTTTGGTTGAATTGCCCATTCTCAGTAATATTTACATTTACAGTTCAAATAAGATAGTTACATTTTCTTCTCTTGTGTCCGTTTTGCTGTGGTTTTTGCAGACATGAAATCAAGCAGGTACCATAAAGAACTTACTTTATGGAAAAATGATCACAGTATACTCCTAATTAAGCCACATATGCACTTATAAACCTCGCTCCCCTTAGAATTGTTACTTGTGATATCCTGAGGAAAGAAAAGAATCTGCACTCTAAAGCCTTCTACAGGAGCCATTAAGCCTAATAAAGTGATCTATACAGTCAGATGCATAATTTTAGATGCACTGCTTTTAAATGCATGCCAGAGTATTTTGGTATGTTTACTACTAGCCTTCTGTTACTCAGTTTTTAATTTTCTGGACATATGGCTTAGCTACAATGTACAGCTGAAATGTAGTGATCTGCTGAATCACTTTTTCAAATACCTCAGTAACGATAAAGCACACAGAAGGGAATTTTAGAAGTGCACCTTAATTTCATAGGGACTGTAAGTATCTACTGGTTGTTTTTTTTTTCTAAAACTCATTACTTATTCTACTAAAATTATTAAAACTGTACATGGAATTCTTATTTCATACTTACTGATTTGATGACTGTGATATGTGGTAAAGTCAAAGAGTAAAATTCCTGTAAAATGGATATGTCTGTCAGAGGGAACGAGGGAGGCAGTTCAGGAGATTATGCTGAAGTTGTTCCTTAAATAAGCCCCACAGACTGGAGCAGCAGATGTACCACTATGTCTGGCTTTTATAGTTTTGGGAACTCATGGCTGTCCCAGTGTTGTCCCAGTTAATCTCAGCACTCTTAGAAAGTACCTTAAATGTGTCAAGGGACTCTTGATCTTAGGGCACAAGTATAACTGTAGAAGTGAGAAGTTGGACTTGAAAGACATTATTTATAAAGCTCTTTATATTTTAATAGTGAAACTTATCCAGAAGAAGTCCTTGGAAAGACAGAATTAATTATATGTTGAACTTGTTTAATCAAACTGAAGATAAAATTAGTGAACTAAAATTATCAACATAACATGAAATGAATGTCGTGTTTATCTATATCTATGTCATATTTAATGAGCTACTGCTTAGTCTATGATTTTGTTATTTGTATGCTAAACAGCAAATTGCTGTAAGATGGGGTTTCATCCCTCTAAATAAACTGCTTACTGGAAAATTTTCCATTACACTGTTTTGTTGTGGTCAGGGCATTGTTTATGTTTTAGTAAAGTATCAAACAGAAAATTAATTTTAAAGGGACCTATGCAGATAATTTTTGTCTTCCCTGCTCAAAGCAAAGTGATCTTCGAAGTCACTCTGGTTTGTGTGAGGGCTTTCCTGGTTCAGCTGGATTTTCACATAGCATGAAATTTACTATAATGTTGGTGTAATTTACATGTATTCGTGAGACAATGATTTAACAGAAGACCTGAAAGTGAGTGGTAAAATGATCACTATAGCTTTTAAACTTCTGATTTCACATGTGTAATCCTAGGGGTAAAAGTTGGTAACAGCTCTAGTATCTATAAAAGATTCAAAGAAAAGCGAGAAGAAAATGATGTAGGATATAAATTCAATTTCAACCATTTTAATTTTCAAAATGTTTCCTTTATAGTTCTCTGTAAATTCTGTGAAAGACCTGCTTAGTATTCAATGAGCGAAGCTAGAAGACAGAGATTTGATTGAGTCCCTTTTTTTGCTTTCCTCTACCGTGCAGGGATTAAACAAAAACCTTTTGTTATGACTGAAAGCTGCCTTTTTGAATTTTGAGAAATACTGAAAAACCTGAAGAATCACTGTATGTAAATCAGGCATCTAGAATAATAACTCCTGAGTGGTTTTGATCCTTATTTTTATGTGTAGTTATGAATATATATGTTCTCTGCCTGTTCCAAATTCCTCAATACAAAATGTGTAAACGCTTGTGCAGTCCTTGACTTTCAAGGAAGTTATCCTAAATTAATGCATTTGCATGTGTGAAATTAGCTGCAGTGCAGTTCATTAAAAGACTAGAAACAAGACCTCTTATCATGGGTGTCCATAAACCAAGACCATTGGGAGAAAGACAGAGAATATTCCATTGGTTTTTTTAGTGAACAATAACATGTGTATTGCAGTATCTGTCCAGCCATTCCTTCATGAATGGCAGTTTGGGAGTACAGGGACTATGATTTTAATCTAGAGAACAGGTCAAGGACACTGACTTGTTTAGCATTGCCTTCAGTCTGCAGATGTTCGAAAGAGAGGAGCTTGTAGAAACACACAAAGAGTGTGATTGCTGGTTTTGTTTCCTTGATAGTCTGGGAAAGGTTAAATCCACTTTGATGTTTTCTGATCATAGAAATTAGATTCTTAGATTCTTTCTGTTTGCGTTTCATTTAATGTTCCATGGAAGATCAGGAAAATGCATTTGTCAGAATTATTGCTTTCAGAAGATGAGCATATTTAGGTACAGTTAGTAAATTTTGATTTATGTAGGCAGTGGGTGATATTTGTTTTGTGATTTTTCTTTCATAAGGAACATTTTTTTGCATGCCTTGCAACAGTAGATATACTATGGAATTATGTTTATGTCTTGTTTGCACATAAAACAGCCTTTTATCATCTTATTTTGAGCTATTAGGGTAGATTCTCAGTTAACTTGCAAAAGCAGTCTCTATGAAGAATATCATAGATAAATGAATATCCCTAATATAAATCCAAATTCTGGACTGTATTTTATTATGTTTTTTAATTTTGATGAGGAGTTATTCAATTCACACTACTAGAGCTTTCACATTCTGGCTGGTTATTGTTCTGGTTCTGTGTTCTTGAGTTCCAACTTTGTGGGCACACTAGCTCAACTAGCTTGCCACTAGTTTTTGGTAGTGTTTGTATGTTCACTGCTGTAATCCCTAGTGTACAGATAAAGCTTTCTCAGTGTTAGGTACTAAGTTCATAATTTAATAACATGTCCAGCCACACCTTATGGCTCCATCTGAAAGAAATCAAGCAAGGCCAGCATCCTTCTCAATTTTCATATTCCCCATGTCTGTTTTTTGAATTTAAATGGAGATACAGATGTAGAAGATAAAATATTTTTGTTCTTCCTGTTAAGCTTATTTAAACATTCTTATAATAGGCAATAGTTTTTATTCTGAGAATCATACGCTGGAAAGGTTCAAACCAGATGGTTGATGAGGAGAAGGATGATGTACATGACACTGTTCTACTTACAAGAAGTCTGGCCTAGGACTGGGAGAATGAGGCACTGATAAGTGGTATTTATAATTGGTGATTGTTACAGAAGGAAATTGCTCACTTGACAGTGAGCACTGGATGATCTGAAGAAGATACAATCAAAACATGGTCAGACTGCTGTGCTCTGTTGTTATTTTGGTTTAATTGAATTGTCAGTGTCCAATAAAATCATAACAATTCCTATTAGTGGATGTTTTTTTCTTTTGTTCTCTTAAATATGTGGTATTTCAGACAATGCTGCAGGGTCTGTTCTGCATACATCTGAAAAGGCTGATAAAAATCTTGTATCCAGTGTCCCATTCCTTACTGCCCTCTTTAGTAAGGTGCTCACAATATTTACATAATGTTCATCTAGACTGCAAGGTCTGGATTAAGAGCAAGTCATGACAAGGCAAGAGCACTTACTTTGTTGATAAAAATTTCTTGGTGCTGACAGATGGATGACATATGTACGCTTATGTTTCTAGACTCTTCTTCAGAAGACAACAAAATTAGACATGAAAAATTGCTCTTTTCTCTAAGGAAGGTGGAGCTAAGCCAGGAGTTTCTCTGGAAAAAGCTGTGAAGCCTAGTAATGAACAACTGCAAGGATCAGTCAGGACTGGCTCCCACTGTGATCCTTGCAGTACATTACTGCCTAAGGAACACTGTTGGGATGGGTGTTTGGTGTGCAGGGGATGAAACTCTCCTGGTCTGCATTTGCACGTAATGCTTACATGCTTATATATGCGTTATTCGTTTCTGTTCAAAAGTTTAGAGAAAAGTAGCTCTTCTGGAGTTTGTATAATAATAATATGTCAATAGCTAAGGAAATGTAATTCTGTGTAGGATAACTTTCAAAGCTTTTGGAAATACTTATAATGCCTTTAACCTGAAGTTTCAGATGGCAACAATGTGATTGGAACTGAAGAGAACAGTTTTGACCGCAACTATGTAAAAAAGAAGTTGGAGCATGGGCTTTCACGAATATGGCAGGTATGGGTTTTGAATTTTGTTTCCCCCTAGGTATTTATTCCCCCTTGTTCCACCTCTCCAGTATTAATTATGGTTATATTTGTACTAATGTTCTTAAAGAAATGTCTCCAGATTTTTTTTAAGTGACCACAGAAATTAATTTCTATGACTCAGTGGTTGCAATGCTTCCAAATTCAGTCAAGATACCAAAACATAGTAATAGGACTTTTAGTCTGATCCCATTTCTTTCAACCTGTGTGCTGCCACACAGTCTATTTTCCTCTCATGTGCTTTTCTCTGTATACTGCTTTATATTTCTGGTATAACCATAGCTCTGGAGAACCTGGAGCCTTTTGAACCTGGCTGGTTTCATGGTATTCCTGGTGTGATTGCTTGATCAGTTTGGAGTGTAGTGTCACCCAAAATGTATGATGAAAAAGCTGAGTTCTGTTTTTTATTGACAACAAAGCATCTAGGATTGACTCTGTCTGTGTTATAGAGTGCTAAAGAAACTGATTATAAAATTGATTTAGAGAAATTACCCATGTTACAGAAAGTGAAATTCTATTCTTAGTCTCAAAAAAAGAATTTATTTGTAAGTGCAAGCAGCCAACAAGTGTTAATGAGCCAGGCATCCAAGCCTTCACTTTTCTTCAGTGTATTAACTATACTTGTTAAAAACTTGTTTGTGTTTTGTAGGACGTTCAGTTGAAAGTGAAAACATATCTTCTGGGAACAGATCTGTCTAACTTCAAATATGATGACTTCATATTTGTACTTGATGTTATCAGCAGGTATGCTGGTGTGGTTGTAAGAGCTTTAAGTACATGTCCACAGATGAGCTCTGATCAGATACCACTGTTGATTAAGGCTGATACTTGCATTTTGATGCCAATTTCATTCAAATGTGCTGATAGCTTGAAGAGCAATTCTATATGTGAGAGTTTATGAGGATGTATTTAGGAGAGGTAGTATGAACCGTTTTGCTGCTTAAGTGTGATATGATTTCAGTATTGTCTCCTTTTAAGATATGGACTGTGCAGGCCTAGTAATTTTTTTTCTAAGAGCTTTTAAAGGGTGTCTGAGTCAAGCAGAAAAATACTGTGGTACTGCCAGCCTGTACAATATTATATCCTTCTGTTGTGACAATAAAATGGCACATTGAGACTATGAACTGACAGCTCTTAAAAATACATTTATTTTGCTTATGGCTCTTTGTCTCTATGCATATGGCACACAATGGTAGGATTTGAATTTTGTGAAATGCAGCCTTAACGTTGCAATGTAACATTGGTACTCTGTGTTTATGAAGATAAATCTACACTCACAGTTAGAACAGCAGTATTAAGAAATCAATAAATATGTCTAAATTTTGTTTTATTACTTTAGGCTGATGCAGGTTGGAGAAGAATTTTGTGGCAGTAAGTCTGAAGTTTTGCAAGAATCTATCAGAAAACAAAGTGTTAACTATTTCAAAACATACCACAGGTGAGACTATTATATGTGCAGTAGATGATTCTAATGCCATTTATTGTTGTTGGGTAAACAGATTCCTTTCCAAAGGAATTCCACTGCATCATGCATGCATTGAGGTTGACTGTAGAGTATATTTCCTGATGAGAATAAGGTCTCTGAACTCTGGAGAAGGGGAGAGGATAGAGAAGCCTTGGCTTCCACTGTATTTGTGGAAAACTGTAGTTCTGCAGCAGGCAAGTCAGATAAAGACAAACAACTTTTTAATGTAGAGTTTCAGTTGTTTTTTAGGTTGTCTCTTGTCTCCTGGCATCCTGGGAAGGAATGCCTCTGAAGTCCGTACTTTGTAGCAAAATTGTGTCTTCTTTTTCAATGCAATTGCTTTAGAAGACTCATTATATATTGCTATGAAATGTTTTTTCAATATGCAATTCTGTTTTGAATCAAGTAAGATATTTAGGACTGAGTCCATCTTTTTGAGTCATGTCTTCATGGCTTGTTCGTTGGCAGGATGTAATTCATTTCAGTCAGCTCTAATGTCATATCCCATGAGGCCAGTCATGTGTTGTCATGGACAGGCATTCTCGGGACTGAGGTGTGATATATGGCTATAACAGCATCAAGACTTATCTTTCTGTTTGTTTTAATTGTCTTGATTTTAGAAATGTTTTGGTTTGGGTGATTGACAACTTTTTAATTCTAGTCATCTAGCATTATATTCTTTCTGGGTGTAAAACCTAAGATATGAGAAGAAATACAGCCTTCCATGCTCTAGGAAATGCCTACTTTCCTAGTCTTGATCTATTGTCCTCTTGTTTGGGAGCTATCATACAAGTAATACATCCAGAGCCATTTGAAAAGTCAGAGACTTTCTGCCTAAAGTCCATGAAGTATGAAAATTAGGGCAGGAGAACATGAAACAGTGCCTAAATTCAGAAGATGAGAATGTGGTTTGGAATTTCTTCCAGCTTTGGTAGTTTGTAGCTAGGAATTCTTTCTTGTCATTTGATGAAGACCTCAGTTCCAGTTGTCTGAAAAACTTGAGCTTTAATCAGATCCACATTATGTCTTGTCAGGAGATGCCACCTGTTTATTTCTTGAAATTTTTCTGAATCCTAGACAGAATTTTGTGAACTGATTTTGGTCTAACTAACCATCTTTTACTACACTGACTTACCACATAATGCCTTGTTGGGTCAAGTAAACATAATTTTGACTGTTACAGTTCTGTGTATGTTTAACAGCTTTAAGTAATTACAGGCAAATTTTCTGAATTATTTTTTAGCAAAAAAAAGGTTAAGGAACACTGCTGGAATATGGATAGAAATATAAATTTTTTGTAATAACTTGTGTTTTTTAAGATAATGTAATTCTTGTGAAAATAAAATTAAATATTTATTGACATCAATTAAATTATATGAGAACTTTTAATAATTTCTATGTGTTTTATGCTGCATGGGTATTGTGAAGATTAATTGGCTGATGTTTTCATTCTCAGAAGAAAAAACATTAAAAACCCTGTCACACAGCTATATCCCCTAGGTTGTTTTATATAAAGCTTTACGCATCTTGCCTTTTCAGATCAAACTAATGTGGCTCTCACTTCTCTTGGGCATTTAATTGGAGGGGGAAAAAAAAAGCAGCAGTGCTTTTAAGGATGCATTAGTACATGAAAGCTGAATGAATGCTTAGAGTCCGGGAGTAATCAGTTCTTTGTGTAGTTTGACATACGTAGCCTCCTGGGCAGTGTGATGTTATAGAGCACTGCCAATATAGAGAAAATATTTAAAGGAATTGGCTGTGTGATTCAAAAAGCATAGGAGAGAACATAGTACTAGAGCATACAGGAAGCCTTTTTTTGGTTGCAATTGATTGTTCTGATAAATCAGAATGGGCTTTTGGCAAAAGCATCAGTAAGGTGATTTTTGAAATGCAATTTGCTTTTGTACTGATACACTTGTAAAAAAGTGTGTCTGATACAATTAAGCTTTTCAGAGAATGAATGCATCAGGTCTTCATGCATTCCCCTTTCTAGATGTGTATGTTGGTAAAAATTAAGAGGATTTGTTCAAGTACTCTGTTAGAGCTTCAGATTCTAAATGCTGCAAAACCTGTTGTGTGGCTTTTGAATATTTGCTTTTCTATGACTTTCACCTCAGTCTCCCTCACAAACACTTTTAATCTCTAATGCTGGTTTTCACAGCATCTCTGTCTGTTTTTTCTGTTGGCTTTACTGTGAGAAGATCTGCAAGGTATGGGTGCTCAATGCCCTGAAAATAGCACTTAAAGTCCATTTGTATTTAACTGAGGAATTTAAATAGACACAGCAAACTGTAGTCAGAATTCAACATATTGCTTATCTCATCATGGCAAGCAAATTTTAATTGTTGTGATGGTTGTAGTTTATTACTGAAATTATGGTATTCCTAGAATATTTTATTGCCTAATTAGAAACCCAGTGCATAATTTACCAACTGTTACTTGTTAAACAAAACAATATGCCCTATATTAAGAGGAAAATATAGAGCAATATGATCCCAAAAAACATTCATTGTTGTCTTTTCCTATATGTTCCATTTATGTGACAAATTTTTTTTCTTTATCAAAGATGTTTCTGCTTATGACAGAGTGGAGGCTTTTCTGGTGATTAAAAGCAACAGAAGAAATGCAGAGATGTAATGGCTTGATTACTTTTCCTTATTACTGTATTACTGATACCAAAGTAAAATTAAGCTGTGAGGAAAATTAGAGACTAATAGCCATTTAAGTTTTATCTTTGAAAGGCTGGTATGTCTGTAGAATATTATTTCTTTCCACTTGCTTTTGCTCTCTGTTGGCTTCAGTGTGTTTGAAAGAAGCATATGTCTTATGTGGGCTCTCAGAAGCTGTTGTGGTGCTAGTGGAGAGTTTGTGTATATTATATTGTTTTCTACAGTTTACAGAGGAAGAAGATCCAGTATTTCTGCATAATTGTAGGTGTCCCTCTATAATTTGTAATAGTTTTGACTAAAAGAACTAGTTTACAGATTTATGGAGATAGTCTCAAAGAATATCTTTCTGCAGAGATGTCATAAAAAATACACTGCTTTGGTAGCCACAGCTTTTGAGTATTTTGTCGGTTGGAAGCATTGCTTAAATACTTGTTTTAAAGTGTAACTTTTTGTTCAGTTTTAGAATTACTTCACTGCAGAAGTGAAGTAATTGCCAATTTTGTGATTTACTCTTTCTGCCAATTAAGAGTATTCATTTGTGTTTCAGAACCCGTCTTGAAGAGCTAAGAATGTTTTTGGAGAATGAGACCTGGGAACTTTGTCCTGTTAAATCAAGCTTTAGTATTTTGCAGCTTCATGTACGTTCTATGGATAAAATGCACAAGTGTATTATTACTTTAATAACTAAGAGTTGCGGTGTTCTAAGAAGTAGTAAGATCCATGAACTACTGTACAAATGTTTTCAATTGCTTCTAAAAGCTCCTCGGTTTTACTTCATGATATTAGAAACTTAGGAGTTTTGAAAGAGTAGTGTTTCTTTTTCAGGCAGGCAGAGGTTTTTATGGAAGATGCTAGAGTTGTAAGCATAATGTTAGCCTTTATTTTTCCTGTTTCAATGTACTGGTAATGTGTCTGTTTTTAATTTCTAAATTATTTATCTGACAGTAAGATGCTAAAACATGAGTGCCTGAAAATAGTTGCATGAGCACTCACTGGCTTGTACCAACTTGGCATCTGTTTCTGGAAACATAGGTCATACCGCCTCATTTGGACAGGAAAAAAAAATATTCTTCTGTGGTGAAGTCCAACTGAAAGCAAGTAATTACTGTACTTACCTTCTAATCATCCGAAGTGATTTTTTTATTTTATAGCATGTGGTGGATGAAATTAACTTGTTCTGCCAAATAAAACATAGTGCCTGTGATTAAAGCTATGAGTGAAGTTCAGAAATGTTTTAGCACACCAGTGTTGAGCAAGATCATTTTGCAGCCTCTGTGGAGTTAACTGTAGAAGTAAGCAATAGGCTACTGGGTCACTAAAAGTATGGAGGATAAGGAAGGGAGGACTCTCAGCAGCATCCAGCAGCAAAAGAAATAATATTTTTAATAAAGAAATGGGATTCTAAATCCCTACATACTGCTCAAGGGACTGGAGCAGCAGAAAATGGCAGAAAGTTACTGATTTGTTTAAGCAAACAGAAATCGAACATTGTAGTCCTTTTAGCTGCATGTGTTTTAATGTTTGAACCTTTAGTTAAATGAAAATGTACATTTTACCGTTATGAGTGTTGATAGCTAGAGTTTAATAGGTAAAAATGGTATGTCATCTGAGATATGATGTGTTTGGTTAGGAAAAAAAAATACACCTTTTGGATCCTACTTGGTCCATACACTTGCAAAAGTTTGTGCACTCACCCAGTGATCAGAAACTGTGTAGTGGGTTTGAGAAGTAAAAAATCTCGACAATTTTTAAAAAATAAAATATCAACAAGAAAATTTCAGCTTTAGTAAATTGCTAGGTAACTTGTGTAAAGAGAACCGCATTTCTGGATGGAATTTTAGTCTTTTTTATCTCCTTAATTCGTGAAATAAAAGCCACAGTTAGTTTTCACCTAGTTTGAGACAGTAAATACTTTCAGAATGTAGATGTATTGCATGTTGTAGCAGAAAACTCCTAAAAGTACATAAACAAACAGCATAAGGTTGTCACTTTTGAGGTTAACTTGAGCCAGTGTGAAAAGCATGTTTAAATAAGCAGCAAACTTTGGCTAAAAGTTAATTGTCCACAAGTTTGTTGTTATCCTTTGTTTTTATGGAACTGGAGTCATAATAATATTGAAAATGCCTGATGAAAACATGATTTCTTTCTGTTGAAAGGAATTTAAGTTCCTGGAGCAGTCGCGTTCCCCGTCCGTGTCGCCGAGTAAGCAGCCTGCCTCTGCAGTTGCGTCGGCGGTGACGCTGTTTGAGCAGTACTGCGCCGGAGGAAACCCCTTCGAAATCCAGGCCGACAGCAAAGATGATGAGACAGAAGACGTGTTAGCTTCCAATGGGGTATGGAGTGTTTCAGGAAAAAAAAATCAAATAATGCTTTCAGTAAATGATGATTTATTTTGTGAGGCAATGATTGTAAAGTGTCTTACTACAAGATTCTGTTGCCTGCAATACTGTGCTGCTCTGCTTTTACAAGTGCCAGAAACCCAGGCTTCCTGTTTAAAGTTCAGTTTGTTTTGCACTAAATGAGCATTTTTTTTCCACTCAAGTCAAGTATTCCTGAAGGTTAGCAAGACATGTTCCACCTAAATTAGTATTTTTCCAGGGATTGAAGTTAGCTTTCGTTGTGGAGGTAATTTTATCATTTTACGACTTGCTTTCTGGCTTCATAGGAAAGAATCGTTGTGGGTTGCTCCTTATGTTGTCTTTGATCACTCCTATGTGATTTGCCATGGAAAGATAGATAACCTACTTAAATAATGCAGGATAAAATTTTTACTAAGGTTTTGTGTTTCAGTGTCTTGACTGACTGGTTAAGGTGGAGGCACCTTTTAGCACTGAAAATTGGAGTTATTTCAGATGGAGGTTGCAAAATTTTGTTTCCAGAGAATATAGACATGTTGCCAAATATAGAAAGAAGTAGCACGATAAGGACATAAACATTTAATTTACTTGTCAGTTTATCTGTAGGCTTGGAAGACTTGTCAGGATTTATTTTGAGAATTTTCAAGTCTTTTCAAGTGCTTAGATGTTGCAAAATGGGGCCCGTGGACCCAATTAGCTCAGCTCTGTGTCTTGAGCTTTGGTGAGATGCTTTATGCCCCTTTTCTGTAGCTTCTTAAAATGTGTCCGTTGTGATACAGTTAACTTCCAGTATTGTAACACTCTCCAGCTTTGATGAATCTTACAGCTTCCTGTGAGTTGGTTTGAGTGGATTGCCTTAACACTTTAACTTGTTATTGCTACAGGATACCTGAATTCGTTTTACCACTTCAAAATTTTACTGCAGACTGTGTATGTTCAAAATAGATTTATAAAGTCTCTTCAGATTGAGGTCACTATTTAATAGTTGTGGTTTAATGCATATTTTAAAATACAAATGCATTTATCCTATAAATAGCTGTTCCAGATCAGTAATAGCATTAGATTGAAGGAGACTTAATAAAAGTGTTTTTCCATGTTAAAAAAATAAATTCTCAAAATCCCTCTTATTCTATGATGTTAAGGCATTTAATTAATGTCAACTGACAGATTCTTACATCAATATGAATTGTAGTTAACAATTTGTGGTAAATTTATCTTTTTACTGTCACTAAGTTTTAATCACATCAGCACGTTATTAATGCATAATAAGTGGTGGTAATTCTTTGTGCTAATGTTCCAGCCAAGTTAGTTAAATTGTGGTTCTTTTTGTCTTTAGTTAAGGCTGACCTCGGCTTATTTTGAAATAAACTGAGCTGCTGTCTTTACAACTTTCCTTTGTCTAAAATGTTCATGATGCAGATATTTTGCCTGGGAGTACTAATGGTCTAAACATTTCTTTCAAGTGTCTCATACTACATTCTTTTTTTCCACCTGAGCTGTTTTTGTTTTGAATTTGTACTGTGGGGTTCTTGCTTTTATACATTGTGCTAGCCTTGAAAACTCTCAGCAACTTGGGGGCCAAGGCACGTGTGACTGAAAAAATACATGTCCTAGTGTGTTTTGGCTGCTATTTCTTAAGTATCCTGGAGCCAGAGTGTGTTACCTGTGTCACTGTGTGATTACAGTAGCTTCAAAGCAGTCTGTGTATTAAGGAAAAGTTTCTCTCTTCAAATGCAGGTGCATTCTGCGTAGCTACAAGTTATTTTTTTGGTATTGGGTTATTTTCTTAGTTAAATGTGTGCAATATAAAGAAGTATTTTTGTGAAGCAATAGTTTAGTTCTTTTTGCAATAATAATTAGCTATTATGCAATGCCAGGGCTTTTTCTTTTCTTTTTTTTTAATTTTTTTTACTGCCACTGTAGGGATGAATTTTGAGGATTTATTACTGTTTTTTTTCAGATTATAAGAAAATAATAAAAGCTCAAATATGTGGATACTTTATACATCAACTAGAAAGCAATACAAATTATTGGTAGCTGAAATAGAATGATGCAGGTATTTAACTAATCAACATAATATAATTTGCCTGCTGCATTTTTAAAGAACATTGACAGCAGCCTTTCAACCAGCAAAGTTATTTGTATCTCAATCAAGGTAAAAGCCAAAAAGTGACCCAAGTGCAACATTAAATGGGTGATAATATTATAAGAAAAAGAATGGTAGTCAATTTATTTATTTATTTATTTTTTACCAGTATGAATCAGATGAACAAGAAAAAAGTGCATATCAAGAGTATGATAGTGACAGTGATGTTCCTGAGGAGTTGAAAAGAGATTATGTGGATGAGCAGACAGGAGATGCCCCAATAAAAAGGTAAGTAGGCTGTGTGGGTCCTTGGTCTAATTCACATGCTTTTCATTTCAGTATTCTAATTAGTTCAGTTTCTGTAATCTACAACTGTGGAATAATAATCAAATAAACATTATGCTGCCTGCACAGTTAGAAGGCTCAGCACTTAGATCTCCAGAGTGGGGAGGAACATTAAACCACTCATGATTATTGCAGAGAAAACCTGAAGAAAGGAACATATTGAAAACAAATAAAGGATCTCTGAAGCAGGTAGTGGAAAACTGATTAGTAAGGACTAGATGTTAACTGAAGATCCTTCTATAGCAGCTCTTGTGTATATGTGTATTTTCTGTTGTTTCAAAAATTTGCAGACAAATGCTTTGAGTTTTGGGCTTCTGCTTCTGCAGAACAATAAACTTCTACAGGTTAAGAAAAAAAATAAGATTATTCCATAGCTTGAAGATGGTACTTTTGAATTTTAAATTCTCTTTTTCTTTAATGCACACATAGACACATATAAATGAATATACATATTCTATTTCGATGTATATAAAAAAGTATTTTATTTATATATTCATATTAAAAAAGCCAACTTTGTGTCCTCTAAAAGGGTCTGAAAACAAGTTTCTGTCTAGGACACTGTACAACTTAGATGTGCATTCAGACTTTGTGAAGCAGGCTAACATTTTTTTATGTAGGGTTTGCAGGACAAGTAGAATGCCATCGCTTGGATCAAAGCAGAGTAGCAGAGTAGTTACAAAATAACTTTTTAGGATAAAATATTGTTAGCATGATTCTTTCTATAAGGTATACCATGTAAACTGCCTCCTTTCATAGAAGTGGTGGAGATATACTTAAAAATAATTTAATTGGAGCAAACAAGAGTTGCTGTCCATAGGTTTGTACTGTGAAATTGAAATTTTTGGAAGAATGTAATTTTGAGGTATGGCAGCTGTCAGAGGGTTTGGCAGCTGTCAGAGGGTTTATCTGAAAGAAAATTAAAATGTATCTAGTTGGATAAATATCGAGTCCAACTTTCTGACTCTTTCAGGACTAAAATTTATGAAAAAGTTAATGACTTTTTTAGTTTCACCTTCCTCAAAATTGCTTCTATTTCTAGGTAGTAACTTTCAGCTGTAGCTGGCAAATCTGCCTCTGTTTTGTTGTGACTTGTGTTGCTTTTATTCTCTTAATGAATTATGAATTTGATTCAGAGTGACTAAAATGACTGTTGGGGCAAGACAGAGGCCAATAACTCCAGTATTAGAATAAAAGTCAAAATTCTTTCTCTAGCACAATTCTATGTGAATTAGATCAGGCTTCTTTCTTAAATGTTAGAATCCTAACCTTGTTGTGCTTTGGCATAAATAAAACTCTACACTGGAAGGCATACTGTCATGTGAAAGAACGGGGGAGGAATAATACATTTTCCACTAAATTTCCATTGTATGTCTTTGAATGTTTTCATATTTGCTGTATTTTTTTTTTTTTAAGTGTTTCTCGAGAAACTCTGAGGAGCAGAAAGAGATCAGATTATAACCTCAATAAAGTGAATGCACCTATTCTAACCAACACTACACTGAATGTAATAAGGCTAGTTGGTATGTAGAATAATTGTTTTTTATAAGTGTTTTTGATTTTTCTGCAAACTTACGGATTATAGCAAATATGTTAAATGATATTTAAGACCCTAAAGAATATACCTAGTTGGACGCTATTTCTGCTCTTTGAAAATATTAATAAAATAGAAATAAAACACTAAAAAAATATTAAATTAAATAGACAAATTTGTTTATATCTTGTGAGTTATTTTTACTTGGAAAATTAATCTGCATGCATATGTTGGTTTTAACCAGTAATGGTAGTTTATTTGTTTGAAATATTGAATGTGTTAGAAGAGTGGATATAGCAAGCAAAAAGATTAATGCTCTATGTTGCTGATGTATTTTATGAAATGATTTCAAGTAGAATAGTTGCAAAAATAAGAACTTTAGAACTATTTTTTTTTTGTGTTTCATTATTCAAATTCTCACAGTCAGAATAACTGTTTCTACTACAGAGTAATCAACTAGAAGAAAAGAGCTCTCATACATGCTAGCAATCCCTAGGGAGTTTAGGGAATTTCTGTCGCTGCAGGGTCATCAAGATGTGACTGGTCAGGCTGCTGAGCAGCCTTGTGTCTTTAGGCCTGCTCTGAGCAGGAGGTTGCACTAGGCCACTTCTTGAGGTCTTTCCTTGCCAGACTTTTCTGTGAAAACACTGGCCTCCAATTCTAGATGTGATGGGATTGATTTTCTGTGATCATGACTTCTGTGTGATGATCTAGATAATTTTACGATAGCAATTTTCTGCTACTGACTTCTGTTTTATTTATAGGGAATGGGGAAGTAACTGCCTAAATATATCTGAGTAGGCAGGAGATAGAGGAATTCTGTATGTGTTGCATTAATGAGGTTTGCCTTCAACGTTTGAAAATGATTGTTGCAGAAGTTTACTCCAACACCTGGTTAGCACTTTTTGCTGTCTTCAAGGGCAGCATAAAAGTCAGGAATTAATTTTCTAAATCTTGTTGGCAGATTTGCTAAAACCTTTCTTTTCCTTAAGCATTCACAATATAGACCTGAAATGAGAGTTCATTCAGTTGTAACTTTTCTGTGATAGATCTGTGACTTAGGCTGGAGAGATTTGTTTGCTCTTTCTGCTATAAGGTTTTGCTCTGAGAAAATGGAGGATTGAATATAGATACCACTCATGGCACTTTCATGCAAACTCCAGCCTCTGTCCCTGCCATGAAACACTGTACCAGTACGAGAGGCAGTAGTTCTGATTTTCCAATTTTACGTAAGGAATCCTATTTGAGGATTATGTTGATAACCCCAAAATTAAACATTATTTTTAAAGCTCATATGTATGCTTTCATCTCCTTCTGGAATTATTATTAATTTGAAAATTTCCTGCTGTTTGGGGTGTTTTATATTGTTTTGGTAATGAGTGATAGTAGTGTTATTTAAAACATGGAATTTACGATAGCAATTTTCTGCTACTGACTTCTGTTTTATTTATAGGGAATGGGGAAGTAACTGCCTAAATATATCTGAGTAGGCAGGAGATAGAGGAATTCTGTATGTGTTGCATTAATGAGGTTTGCCTTCAACGTTTGAAAATGATTGTTGCACTTCAGAGTAAGCCCTTTTAAAAAAGGTTACTCCAACACCTGGTTAGCACCTTTTGCTGTCTTCAAGGGCAGCATAAAAGTCAGGAATTAATTTTCTAAATCTTGTTGGCAGATTTGCTAAAACCTTTCTTTTCCTTAAGCATTCACAATATAGACCTGAAATGAGAGTTCATTCAGTTGTAACTTTTCTGTGATAGATCTGTGACTTAGGCTGGAGAGATTTGTTTGCTCTTTCTGCTATAAGGTTTTGCTCTGAGAAAATGGAGGATTGAATATAGATACCACTCATGGCACTTTCATGCAAACTCCAGCCTCTGTCCCTGCCATGAAACACTGTACCAGTACGAGAGGCAGTAGTTCTGATTTTCCAATTTTACGTAAGGAATCCTATTTGAGGATTATGTTGATAACCCCAAAATTAAACATTATTTTTAAAGCTCATATGTATGCTTTCATCTCCTTCTGGAATTATTATTAATTTGAAAATTTCCTGCTGTTTGGGGTGTTTTATATTGTTTTGGTAATGAGTGATAGTAGTGTTATTTAAAACATGGAATTGGAAAGGACTTCCTGTGGGAGGAAGATATCATTTAGTACTGCCTGTAAATATGCTTGCTTTGAGCTCCAGCTTAAAAATACTTCTATTCCCAGCACTGTTTCTAACAGGAATTCTATTTCAGAAGCCTTGTCAGCCCAAAGAATAAAAAAAAAATTATCTTCCTATTTTTTGCTGACTTGATCTTATGACAAAAGAAATTTTGAGGTTTAACAGATCATTTTCTTTTTCAATGCATACTGTTCTGCTGTTTTCACAGGAAGTGGTCCTATTTCTTCTCTGTCTTTGATGTGCTAAACAATGTGCCAAGATTTCTAGTGTCCTCTGTATTTATCCACTAGAAGCTTAAATTTTCTGCTCTTGTTACCAAAATCATGCAGTACTTTGGATGAGATCTTGCTGCATTGTCCAATTCTTATATCATTGCATCGTGGTCCTAAATTCCTTCCATTTTGCACCTCTTTAGATTTCTTACAGCTTCCTTGTAGAGTGTGATGATCTTGTATAGCCAGCAGATCCTTCACTTTCCCAGTTTTTTCCAAGAGATAAGCTGCTAGCTAATAGTAGAAAGATGCATGTTTTTTAATTAATTGTCCCCTAAATGCATGTATTTACAATTTGTGCTACTGAATTTAGTCCAATTTTTATTACAATCATCAAGTGCTCCTGTACATTATGTTAGTACTTTTCTCTTTTGATGGTGTCTCTTTATTTTTTTCTATTATCACTCTTATTTTTGTGCCAGAGTAATTAAAGAAAATGTTAAAGAGATTGCTGATTGCTGGGAAGTCCACTGGTAGCTTTTTTTAGTTACCTTCCTACTCAACATGCTCTAGCTTCATTTATTTACTGTGCAATGTTGTTATATTAATACTTTTACCAAATCCTAGATAGATGAAATGTATTGTGTCCTTTGTGTAGAAAATCGTGAGTTCTGGCTCATGTGCAGTGTCTGGTACAGTTCACTTCTGTTAGATCCATGATTTTTCTTAATTTTGCCTCCATATTTCTGTTTCTGTCATTTCCATAATTTTTTTCAAAACAATCTGAAATTCTGCATCCTAAAAATTAAAACAGTGGATCAGTAGTTATTTGGATTACTATTTTCCCTCCTTAATATGTTTTTCTTTGCTGTTTTTCAGTCATAGTGATGAAGACATAGATTTAAGTTGCCCAATCAAATAACAGAAATAATTGCCTTACTTTTTAGGAAAGTAGTAGTGCCCACTATTAGGAAAGTAGTAGTGCCCATTGTGCCATACTGAATGAGTATGAAGTGTTTGTTAACCATTTTGAACTATTTCTATGTGCTTTATGCTTTGTATGGAGGCTAAATGAATTAAAAAAAAAAGAGTAGTTTAAGATTTATAAACTACATAAATGAGTTGCTAATGTGTAATTGAAGTGGGAGCAGTTACAATTGTGTTTGAATCTCAAGTGAACAGTTCAATTTATCAGATTTCTCTTATATTAATTAAGGTAATTAGTTCTCTTTCTAATTTCATTAGTCTAATTTATAAGATTAATTTTTCCTATCAAGCCATTGCATGTTGACTTAAAATGTAAAGGAAGAATAAACCTGTGTTAAATTTGTATGGAATAGTTTGACTAAGCACTATATATCAACAAGAGTAATTAATAATAACTGTGTCATTGTGTATATTGATTCAGTGATCTCTTAATTAATATCATTCTGACCTAAGAAATAGTTTAATGGGTATTTATTATATTGATGGGTTTTAATGCTTTTTTGGCCTTATTTTTGTTTGTGTTAGGAATGTGTTTTGAGGACAAATTCTTAGATTGTGCTTACTTTAAACCCCATTACCTTGCAAGAAAATAATAATAGTGATGACAAACCTCACAGCAGAAGTTAGTTGAAGTGAGTAACTGATAAGATAACGTAGAACCTCCTGTGACTTAAAAACCTTAAATCACACGGTCTTTCAACGGACTTTGCACCTCTTCCTTCAAAGCAGCATTTTGGCTCTTAATGTGTGTCTTCCTTCCACCTGGAGGTCTTTTTCCCAGTCACCTGGGTCGGGGATTCCCAAGGTCTTGTCAATGAAGACTGATACACAGAAAGCATTTGGTATATCAGCCTTTCCTGTGTCCCCTCACCAGGGTTCCTTCTCCATTTAGTAGCAGGCCTTTTATTATTGATATATTTGAAGAAGTTCTTCTCGTTCTTGACATTCTTGACCAGTTTTAATTCCAGGTGGGCCTTAGCTTTTTTGTCTTAATGTCTGCTCACTCCAACAACATCTCTATATTCATTCCAAGTGGCCTGTCTCTACGTCTACCTCCTGTATATGTCCTGCTTTAGTGAGTTTTGATAGATGTTCCTTGTTCATCCATGCTGGTCTCTTGTCCCCTTTGCCCACTTTCTTGCTCATCAGGATGCACCATTCTTGAGCCTGGAGGAAGTGGTGCTTGAATATTGACCGTCTCTCTTGGACTCTTTTTTCCTGCAGAGCCTGTCTCCATGGGATTCTTCCAAAAACATCCCCAAAGATGCTAAAGTTAGCTCTCCAGCAGCCAAGAGTTGCAATTTGGCTTGTTGCCTTGCTTCCTTCATGCAGGATACCGAACTCCACAATCTCATGGTCATTGTAGCCAAGGCTGTCCCCAACATTCACACCTCTAAGAAGGCCTTCTTGTTCATTTGTATAAGGTTGAGCAACACACCATTCCTCATTGATGTCTTCCACCATCTCTGTCAAGAAGTTGTCAGTGCTTTACTCTTGGTGCTTTGCTGTTTTGTTGTTCTAGCAGATGTAAGGATGACTGAAGTTCCCTGTGAGAACCAGGGCCTGTGACCATGAGGCTGCTTCTACTTGTCTGTTAAAAGATTTCATCCACTTCCTTCTCCTCATCAGGTGGCCTGTAGCAAACACCCCAGTGTCACCCTTACTAGTCTGCCCTGTTATCCTAACATTTGAGCTCTGGACTCACTCATCATCTACCCCAAGAAGAGCTTGATACATTCCAGGTGTTGCCTGACATACAGCACCAATCCACCACTGTGCTTTCCAGGTCTGTCTTTTCTAAAAGCATGTAGCCCTTCATGACAATATTCCAGTCACACAAGCTATCCCATACCTCCATAACTGCAAGGAGGTCAAAGCCCCGTGACTGCATACACATGTAATTCCTTCTGTTTGTTCCTACTGTGTGCATTTGTCTACAGGCACTTCACAGAGGTATTTCAGTGTGTCAGTATCTCAGGGGGAGTGCAAGGGGGTGTCCCATAGTCCTGTCTTATGTCTTTGGCTGCTTGTACCTGCTGGAGGTATCCCCACTTAAACCTTATTTTGCTGTGTGCATGGTCACTGTAACTCTCCCCTTACCCCATCTTTCCTAGTTTAAAGCTCACTTTACCAGGTTGGCTTGGTAAAGATTTATTGCAAAATTTTTTGTGTGCTAATCTGTGAGGTGCATCAGTTTTGTATAGATTAGTCTGGTAAAGAATGCTCTCTACTTGCTATCCTTATGGACAGAAGGAGTTCTGCAAGCAATACTTCAAAAGAAACCTGGCAAATGTCCCGCAGTTTAAGCTGTCTAGAGCCTCTAGAAATTCAAGCTACTTTCAGTTGCTGAAACTTTAAGTGTTCAAGTATTTCTGGAAATTTATATTTTGATATGGCTTTGGACTGTGTGCTGTTTGAAAATATTCTTATATATCCCTTTTTAACCCAGAGCAGTAACTTCAGCCCAAGTATAGGTAACAATGTGTAGACATTAAAAACTGGTGTCCTGTTGGAGAGAGCAATGAGGAGGAAATGTTCTTGGAACACTTGTTGTATCGAGATGATGAGTGATGTCGTAATAGAGAAATGTTCTTGGCACTGGAAGATTTTTATAGGTACAGTACTTGGGCAGTGTGTAGTGCATAGCCCTTTGGAAAAGTATAAGACACTGCCCAAGAGATTACCTCCAGTATTGATGCCAGCTGCACAGATGCTTGGAAATCTTAACTGTCCAGATTGTGACTTACCACTCACATTGGGTTGCAGGCAACTTCAAAAAATGTTTATCGCAGAGTAAGTGGAAGAAGTCAGCCTGTCCAATCCAGAATATTCAGATAGTATGGATGCAGGTGGCACTTGCTTTAATTAGGGTACCATCACCATCCTTTCACAAATATGCAAAAATTTACACATTGGACTGTGCATTTGATTTTCCCTTTTAGAAGTCAAATAGAATTTTTTAAGTCCACTTTTCAGTTTGTTCATAATGCTATGGGTCAAAGCATTAGTAGTTAAGTAGTATAGAGTTAGCAAAAGGGCTAAAGTGACAATATGAATTATTACAACCTGTGTCAAATCTCTAAAAATAACAAAACATATTCTTGTGTGTCTTAGCAAACAGTCATGTAGTATTCAATAAGGAGTCTAAATCAGATAGAAACCTGGAAGGTAGCAATGTCAGGCTATTGTTTGGTTCTTACTCTAGTGTTCTACCATTTTGTCAGGTATGTAGCTGTATCATGCATGTTTCAACTTAGTTATCTTTGCTGACCTACACAATTACTTCCTTGAAAAATTCAAATAACTCCCCTTTTATTAAAAGCTAGCTTTTGTTTCTTTGCTACCCAGTTTCTCTGATTAAACCAATATTTTCTCTGTCTATTAGTAGATTACTTCTCTATGCATAGTATTAACTTGAAGATGAGTGTTGTTGACTAAAGGAAAAAGAAATTGTTTTAGCACCTTCCTGTAATTTTTCCAACTTGTCACATGTAAACATGTCTGGAAGATGACAATTTGTGAAATGACCTGCTGTATCCTACGTGCTGGGGTGGACTACATTTGTATTTTGGTTTAAAAATTGCTGTCTCTCTTGTACTGTAATAACCAAACAGTTTGTTGGTAACAAAATAACATTTGTTATATGTCATGTTTTTAGAACACTAAAAGGGCAAGCAGGATGTCATTTTTGAGGTAGTCAGCAGGAAATATGTGGTCTCTGGAATATCAGGGTTTTCATTAAGTGTGCTTCTTTTATGACCCAATGAAGAGCCATTTCCTATGCTGGAAACAGAAATAAGTGAATATTGCAAGCCCTGTGAACTAGGTCTGTAGGGGTAGGGAAAAACCCCTTCTGGACACCTAATCCTATGATCAGTTTGATTCAGATAACATATGGATGAAGATCCTGAGGGTGGGGTTTTTAAATTATTTTAAAAAAATAAATTTTCCTAAGTCAAATGTGTTACAACAGAGAATAGTAAGGAAGAGAAGGAATTATTCTTCTCCCTGGATGTGCCAGGGTACCAACATCCTTCTTTACTCATAGTCTCTCCTCTTGGAAACATTTCAAACATAAAACTACTTGAGATTCTTACCACAGGATAGAAGGGAAGGAGAGCAGAAAATGCTGTATCACTGATGTGAAGCGCATAACCCTACAGTTCTTGGGTAAAATCCAACCTTGGACATATCATTTTTATACTGTGTTTTTCTATTTCTTGAAAAATATCTGTATGTGCATACATAAACACACTCAAGCATAAAATCTTCAGTGGTTCTCTATAGCATTTGCCAGACACTGCTTTAGCAGATTATTATTTTTTACCTAAATGAAGCTGAAACTTCATTTAGAGGATCCAGACAGTTGTGTGTTGAATTTGGTACCAGAAGGCTGAAAACAGTTGAAAACATTTTGATATGGATTAACATCTATATTTTGAGAAGTCTTGGAACAATTGTGGTGTCTTAAGCCATCGTTTTAGCTTTGCTTTTAAACCTTTCCAATCTGTAAACTATTATTAATTGCTGTTAATAAACAGTGAAGGCTACATAATACCCTTGGTAAAGTTGGCTTTGAATTTGTCTAAACTGTCTTTGTAGCACCTGTGCTGAGGAAACTGATCTTCTGTATTTGATTTTTAAGGGAAATACATGCAGATGATGAATATTCTGAAACCTATTGCATTTGATGTGATCCACTTCATGTCCCAGCTCTTTGATTACTATCTGTATGCAGTCTATACATTTTTTGGCCGAAATGACATGGTAGGTAGAAGCATTTTTCATTTTCAAGTATCACTGTACACAGAGAATGAAAATAGAGAGGAGATCTCTTTGCTTAAAATACGTAATTCCCAGAAAAATTAGTGGCAATAAAATGGATTTGAATGTAGGAGTAAGAAAAGGCTGATTAGATCAGCAATAAGGGAAGGAAGTACTGGGAGCATTATTGTTAGTGAGACATTAATCATAGTATGTTTTGAATAGATAGATTCTCTATTCTTATATCCAGCACTATTGAAAAGGAGGAAAGACAATGTGAAATACCTAGAAGTGGTGGTAAAGAGTAGGTAGCAAAGGAGATTGCAGAAGGAGGGTGGTTTGATCCTAGACAGTGTAAGGTGATTGAATTTTTCTGTATGTATTTCTCTAGTTTACATAAGAACAGCAAATTTAGGAAAAGGGGGCCATGAAAGTTAAGTAGTAACTCAAGTTTAAGGAATTTGAAAGACACTTTTTCATATCTAGTATTCTTCTGCCAAACTACTTGCATTAATGAAAACAGTGGTTTTTTGAGTGATCTTGTAGTTGAAAAAAATGCTTGTTGGCAATGTCTTTACCTAACATAGATCAGCTGTCAATAGCTGCATGTAAAAACAACTTTCTCATATCTTGGCCCCTAAATTACTGCACAAGTAACAGTGTCGAGGGGTTCCAAATTCATCATCATTTGTTGGCAAATTGTAATGAATTTTCAAACTCAACATATGGTTCTAAAATGCTTTGAACTGTTTGGCAGGACAACTGTATTTGCAATTTGTGTTTACAAGATGGGTGGAGAGTTTTTTCCTTTTGTTGGGTTTTTTGCTTTGGTTTTTTTTGTTTGTTTGGGGTCTAGTTTGTTTTGTTTTCTTAAGATAATGGATTTCCATTGGCTTAGTTGCTGTGCTATTCACATTGTGTTGCATTTATTGTTATTTTTTTACACCTTCTGTTTTGTGTTTCTAAAGCCCATACCAGCTTCCTCACTCTGTGCTTCTAACAGAGAACAGCACAGTGCTAGGCAGGTAAATGTTCTAGCAGATGGGTGGTAAAATTGTGATGTTTTTGTACTGTGCCTAGTATTTGTTTTGACAGATTGTTTTCCATGGGAAACACAAGGGTTTATGATTGGAAGAAACCCTCTTGTTTGTAATGCTGCTTAAATGTCCTCACTCCCCATAGTGTTTCTAAACCTTTAGAAATTAGAGATGGGTGATGGTATGTGATTTAGACCACTCAGAGAGTTCCTGTTTTATTTTTGTTCAGAAAATAATGTCAAATGGGATTCTTATAGTATGCTGGTATAACTTCCTTAAATGTTTAAAATTATTTGTGAATATTATGGTTATTTGGTATATGTGAGTTAGTACACACATAAAGAGAGTGATTGGCTGTAGAGTTCATTGCCAGCTCAGTGAAAAACAGGGATTTAAAATACAAATGTTGAGTTCTATGTCTGTTCATAATGCTGTTGCTGCTTTCCGATCTTTGGGATTCTTATAGTATGCTGGTATAACTTCCTTAAATGTTTAAAATTATTTGTGAATATTATGGTTATTTGGTATATGTGAGTTAGTACACGCATAAGGAGTGTGATTGGCTATACAGAGTTCATTGCCAGCTCAGTGAAAACCAGGGATTTAAAATACATATGTTGAGTTCTATGTCTGTTCATGATGCTGTTGCTGCTTTCAGATCTCGTTCAAATCATTATCCTATGTAATCAGTATTTAGCTTTCTTCACTGCCAAAAATTAAACACTGTTGTAACAAGAATTGCTTTCAAACCTTTTTTTATTTGTGGGCTGCAAATTAAGCCTGCCTTGTCTCAAATTATGGAGCAAGAAAAGATTAAAAGAATGCCTGTATTTGAAATCTACTCACTAAAATTTACGACATTCATGAACATGCCACAAAATAGTTTTCCGTAGCAGAAACAAATTGAGGTGGGTTTTCTTTTTTTCAAAATACATATGTTGAGTTCTATGTCTGTTCATGATGCTGTTGCTGCTTTCAGATCTCGTTCAAATCATTATCCTATGTAATCAGTATTTAGCTTTCTTCACTGCCAAAAATTAAACAGTGTTGTAACAAGAATTGCTTTCAAAACTTTTTTTATTTGTGGGCTGCAAATTAAGCCTGCCTTGTCTCAAATTATGGAGCAAGAAAAGATTAAAAGAATGCCTGTATTTAAAATCTACTCACTAAAATTTAAGACATTCATGAACATGCCACAAAATAGTTTTCCTTAGCAGAAACAAATTGAGGTGGTTTTTTTTTTTTTTTTTTGTCAGGACATTGCACTAATTTATAAACTTACTTTTAAAAATAACTATAGGAGGTTATTATAAGAGGTAATTTCAATAAGAGGTTAATGATAAGAGGTGAAATTGGTGATGAACAGAATTATTCTGCAAATTGTTTAATGCTCTGCTTACTAGCCTTACTAGGTCATCAATTTATGGAATTTAAAACTCTATAGTTCTGCAAATAGAAATAGCAAAAAATTGTATGAATTGAGTCAGCTGTACTGATGAGTGTTCATGGTGGAGCCATGAGGTTCAGTTCTTGTGAACATGTCTCCTAGATCAAGTAGCAAAAAATTGTATGAATTGAGTCAGCTGTACTGATGAGTGAAATGTTCATGGTGGAGCCATGAGGTTTGGTTCTTAAGAACATGTCTCCTAGATCAAGTTATAGATTTCATCAGAGTGTACTTCCAGTGGGACTTCAACTCAGATGTAAACTGTCATTTAATATACAGAAGGACTGGGGCAGATGGACATTTTAAACTGGAAACTTTTGATGCAGTAAATGGGGACCTAAATTATACCTGTCTGTATTCAAACAGAGGGGAGGAGGTCACGTAAATTCAAATACTTCCTTTCCTGATTCAGCCCACTGAAAAGAAGTCTAATAATGCAGCATACAACAGTGCCCTACATATTGTTCAGCAAGTTGCCTTTTGGTGTGAATCACATACCAGAACTGTATTCAAATCCTTCCAGGTTGTTGACTTAAATTTGTGTTTGTTACATGTCCCAAGTTTGTATCCACTTTCTTTGTTGTGTTAGTTTGTTGGGGGGTTTTATTAACAGTAGAACATAAGAAGTTACAATAATTATGCATGTTAAATCAGACCCTCAGCTGTTATAATCCATTGCACTCAGCAGGAAATTAGTGTAGCTATATATATGTGTGTGTATATATATACAAATAAAATAAATACGTATATATAGCATAGTTGTATGTATATAACTATATATCCCAGCTGAGCATCAGCCCCATACACTCCTGAGCCGGGAACATGAAGATGGCACATTTCTGAGTTAGATCTTTGTAGACATTAAGTAATAATGACTGTTTATAAATATAAGTGGTTATAATTTTTACATATGCAAGATATATATTTGATTATTACGAGATATTGTATAGCTAGAAAGAGGAGTGAAAACCATTTGACTTAGGTGTGGTGTGAATGCAAGGCTCAGAGATGGTGTTGTGGGGGCACCATTCCAGGCTTATCACCCAAATGAGAAAATCTAGAGTCCTGCAGATAAATACATAATAACAATAAAAGATACTGGATCTTTTATTGGTATGAATGATACACTGTCATCTTCATGGAAGATAATTTGGTCATTCCTCACACCAGTGCAGAGTTGAGTGCTGTGACCTCTGTTGATTTTCTTTTAATTTTGTGTGGTTAAGATTCTGTGCTAAAATTTTAATGTAAGTAAGTTGTAGCTAGTCTTTGCAAGCTGAAGTTTTGCTGTATAGCACTAAAGTTTAAACCAAAGAGATTTTCTTTCCCAACTTAAGTAGAATGTATTTCTTCCAGTTTGAATCAACAGGACTGGGCCTCAGTAGCAGCAGATTACGCACCACGCTGAACAGAATCCAGGAGAGTCTGATTGATCTGGTAAGTACCTGGATGTTGTTAATGCTCAGTGGGATAGAGGTCTGTGTACGGCATTCAGGAATTGTATTTCATCATGGCTTTTTGATTTTTTTCCTCTTTTCACATTCAGTGTGAATGTATCTAATAAGTTGTCTCATAAAAGGCTTAGTTTCTTGAGGTAGAGGTTATTATTGTATGAAATCACTTTTTCCGATATACAGCAAAATGAATTAAATAGATTTTGCTAGATGTAATAGTGAAATTCGATATTTAAATCTTCTATTATGATTCATGTAATAAAGAGAGACATTCAGTATTATCCTTACCAAGAGACATTTTATAAAAAGAAATTGATGACTCATTTTTCTTCAGTAAAATAATAGCAAAAAAGTAAGCTCTCCTGAAGATTGTTCACCGTTCAGGGTGAGGTTGTATACTAAGACCTTCCTTAATTTTGGGGAACTTTCCAAAAAGTATTTTTTAGATTACATCCCATTGGTCATTTTGTGATTTATTTTCAAAGTGTGAAAAGTAAATATGGTGCTCTTGTCACACTGGTAGTAGATTACTGTCCTGCACAGGAGGATGGTAAAGGAGACTGTAGGTAGTTTTTGTGGATTCAGCTGGACAGCAAAGTTTATAAGGAAGTATTGCTAAAAACTACACCAGAAATGGAAGTTTGAAGTTTTCATACTCTACCTAAATATAAAACCCTTGAAATGTTGTGAAGAAATTTCCTCAGGGTATCATAAATGGCTTGTGTTGTAGTTAATACCATGGATGCTACAGGAAAGTTTTATTTTCTGAGGCTTCTATCTTAGAAAGAAGAAAAAGTTGTTCTACTCTGACTTGCACAAGGATTTGACACTCCAAGAAATGTACTTTATGCTTTTTTAATTCCTTGAATCATTATATCCAGTCCTAAACTGTTCTCTCAGAGAAGCATCTTAAAAGGCTTGGAGACCATTTCTTATACAGTCAGTAGAGGGAGCATAAGATAACTAATAACCCTAGGCCTCTGTAAAGGAGAAAAAGGCTTCTTGATATTCTTCTCAAAGGCAGTGTATGCAGAAAGAAAAATTAATTACAGGGAGTACTTGCAAATGAATCAGTTAAAGATTATGGAAAAATGGCAAGTTATGGAATTAATTCTTTAAATTTCTCTGTAGTGATGATTTCTGACAGTACTTTACAGACTTCATTTTTTTTAGTAGGTTAAATAATTGAAAACAAAATTCTAGGAGTGAAATGGAAAAATAACAGCAGTTTGTTTTGTTCCTCAGTCATTAATAGTACTGTAATAGATAATGTTATTGCCAATTGAAATTAGTAGCTATGTTCAATGTAAGATTTGAAAGAAGAAAGAAATCTTAGTTAACTGCTTAAAGACATTTCATGAGGTTTATGAATATCTTATGAACTTACGCCAATCTTATACTGTAAATGGAAGTTTTTCCCTTTTTTATTTATGAGGAAGTAAAAGTAGTCTGGATATTTTTGTTTATTGTTTGCTTATTTTTAAGAGTTTGTGAAAGTCAAGGTTCATTTTCATTGTGTCATAAAAAGGGCATTTCTCAAGACTGTATGGATGGTTCTGAACTGCTCAAGGGATTCCCCTATCTTATTTTAAATTTTTGTAAATTGCTTTCTGAAAGTATTCATGTTTGTGTTGTGGCATTTGGTTTCATGGCCTGGGAATTTAGGGTTGTTGCCTTGTCTTCTACCCATGGTAGCTTTATTAAGAGGTTAATTTCTGTCACATTTCAGTTCCTGATGGCAGCATCAATGTTTTATTTCCATAAAGATAGTCTGAATCTGACAATTCTGAGTCTGTGACCAAAACTTGGCCAGACTTGCCAAGATCAGAATTTCAGAAATCTGTCAGTGTCTGTGAAGTTTGAGCTACATGATCTATATCAAGACTCTTCAGTAATTTAGACTGTATCATTTCTAGCTTTCCTCTTGGACTTTCTCAATTTGAGTGAATGAAGGCCTCTTTGCTCAAATTTATTGTCAGGAGTTAGAGGAATAATTGGAGGATTGAGTGGCCACCCCCTCCAGCTATGTGTGGAATTCTGGTAATTTCTGTTTGGTATTGAATGAATGCTATCTAGTTTATACCAGATACCTTTTTTTAAAATAATAGTACTTTTGTTGTTATTCAGCTGGATTTTAAGTTTCCTTTGTTAAGGAAAAAGTGATGTGGATTGGGAGTTCCACTTCTGGCAAGTTAAAGCACTAAGTGTTCTTTCTTGCATTTTTGTAGCGTGTTCAGTACGAAGAGTATGGGGTTGATTGGAGGCATTCCCTGTAACTCCTTATGGAGCTGCTCTATTTTCCCATTATTACAGTGCAAGAAGTTTCTGTCCTTTAATATATACTGTGCTTACAGTATATTAACCATACTTGGAAAAGAAGTACTATCCCGGATTTTATTTGGACTGCTGAGCGACTAAGTCGGATTTCTGACTTGTGGCCAGTGTGGAAAAGGCTGCAGCAATCCGAAGCACTTCCTCTACTCTTCCCTGCATCCCTTCTCATGCATCACGTGCCTCCTGCTTCTGCTGGGGGTCCTTGTCCCCTCTGAGCAGGATTCAACTATAGCTGAATCAATTCTCCACTGTTTTTTTGCAGTCTAATACTTCATAGCAAAACCAACTGTACTCTATAAACTGCAGCAAGTTCTCCTGCAGTTTAGATTAATGTTTGACACAGTGAACAGGAAATAGCTGAAATGTGAACATGTGTTTAGTCCTGTTAATTTCTTTGCAAGGCAATGATGTGACCTCAGCTGTGATACATATTATTCAATGTCAGTATGTCTCTCCTACACTGATAAATGATAAACCACCTTATAGTAAGCAAAAACCCCCAAACAATAAACAATGACCAAACCGCTTCAGTTGGTAGTAAATGTGCTCCTGCTGGTCGTAATTGGGATGCAAAATCATTTTTTATTTGAACTTTTCTTAAAATTTTGGAGGTTCTGTATGGTGTAATCAAAATGACAGTGATGAAGGTCTTCATTATGACAATGATAAAAGGACTTAACTCTTTACAATTGAGCAAGCAGGTTCTTAAAACACTAGTGCTTTAGATGTGCTTCCAATCTCAGACTGTTACAAATTTAATAATAATGAAATCCAATTATGGCTCTTTTTAAAACACTGTACTGCTAGTACAGATACTGGTTTAAGTATGATCTGAATTTTATTTTGGTAAACAGACTTAGTTAAAAACAAATAAAAGGGGATTACCAATTAGCAAACCTTTATTTGCTTTCTTATAGTAAGTTTTGTGGAAGTGTGCTGACAGCTTACAGTGATTGAGTAAGCTGTTTTCTGTATGTAACCTCCTTGTCTTTACCTTAAAGAAATACCTCTAGGCTAAATCAAAAGTATAAGAAACAAAAGCACTGTGAGTATTTGTTTTAAAGTAGTTTAGGGTCCAGTTTAATTTCTGAGCGTTAAGAGAACAGTATGACTTTCAAAGATTTATTTGGCCACACCATACTGAACTTCATATGTGTATCTGAACTTCATCGTCGGGTCTTTGCACATCTAGCACAGAATAGCTTTCATACAGATTTCTGCTATGCAGCAGCTTCAGAGTTAGTAATTTAATAATTATTTCTGGATCCTCCAGAAGTAGCACTCTACAAACACTCTGCTCATTCATATAAGCAGATTGTATTAAACAGAAAACACAGAAAGAGAAGACTGAAAAGGGGATGAAGATGTGCTGTTCTTTCAGCCTCACTCAGATGTGGCTTAGATTAGGCTAAATACATCAAAACAAGCCCCTTTTTTGAGTGGCTTGTATCTCCTCACTGGCAGTTTTCTAGTCAGTGTGTAGAGGTACCTATACACATTATGTCCTTGTGTTTGTAATTTCTAACAGGAATGTGTTTTTACACAGTAATGATGTCCATATTAGTTCACTGTGAGCTTTAAGCCCCTGAGTACAAGGCATTAATCAGTTTGTTGTGTGCTTTGGTAGGAATAATTAGTGCTTTGGAAGGAAAATACTTTTGATTCCTTGCTTTTTCTGTTTTTAAGCAGCTTCCTTATCTTCAAAAAACGTAATGTAATCGTGATATTGCCGTTTCCTTTATCTTGTTTGTGAATGTCCCGTGTATGTAAATAGCTGCTGTGAGTGATATTGCTGCAAAAAGAGATTTGGGCACCAAATAACCATGGAATACTCATAAATAATTAATTGCAAACAGGTTTGCTCAAGCAAAACTGAAATTTAGAATGAAGTTTCTTAAAGTTACTGTGTCTTACAGCAGTAGAAAATCACTGTAGTAAAGTATCTAAGCATTGCAATACAATGTATGGTAGAGTAGATGGAAGGAATTACTAATATAAATGAGTATGGGTCAGTGTATTTTAGAATCTGTCTTTACTTTGGCTTTTGGACTCCTTCCCCAGGAGGAGTCTTTTGGCAGAGTCAGGTTAGAGATTGATGGTGCAGAGATTGAAAATGTAGGTTTTTCAGATATACAAATAAGATAAAGATGGGTAGGAATAATTTCTTTTTCTTCTTATCTGACTTCCCATCCCATTTTGGCTTTGACTCTTTTATCCTGTGGAATGGTACAATTCAGTTGCAGAAACAAATAGCTTGGTTTTACTTAAAATGTCACATCACAGGTTTGCATTACATAGTGTGGATGGGTTCCCTGTTATGTATTGTTTGGCAAAATATTAGTGGCAATCTCTGGAGTCTCTTGGCTGTGGAATTGTTTACCTGACAGGGCTGTGCCTAGCACAGGATGCAGCTTCTAAAGGGCACAGCTAAGGTCCTCAGTGAAATGGTAGCTGTGATTCTTGGTGAGGTTTTATTTAGCTGAAGATCTTGTGCAACATTTCTAATCCATGCTTGGTCTCCTGCTGCTTAAAAGGAAAAAAAAACCTGAAAAAAACCAAAGAATAAAACACAGTTTGTGAGTTTTCTATTTCCCCTCTTTAAAAGAGATTTCTAAGTGTACATAATGACAATTTTTAAGGCATTGTATG